ATACAATAAGCTAAACTCGGGTGAATCTTCATAAAATAATAATAAACATAAAATGGGTACCTAACAAGTTGCTGTTCACCTTATGATTCATGGCTTGCTAGCTACCAGTAAAATAATCTTGAATTGGAATGCATTACTCATTGAGTTTCTTGAAAAATAAAAGATATAGGATGTCCTCTAGTGGAAAGAGAGAAAAAGCACATGCAAAGTGGTGAAGCTGTTTATAGCTCGTGCTTATAGTCCATACTCCCAAGGACATACAGAAAAAGAAGAGATCAAAACCTCTTAATTCTATCTCTTTTTCCCAAGAGTTAATTAGTTCATTGGGCTCTCTTTGGATGAATTTACATAATCCAGATTTCAGTGTGACAAATTGCTGGATGGCAGGAGAATAAAGATGCATGCTTAAGGCTCTTCCAAAGCAGATGGTTACAGGCAAGTAAGGACTTCATCCAATGGGACCACCAGCAATGTTCTGAACATGGGAAGATTGGATCCTGGAGGCGAGAACAGTGCCCGCTTTTCTCTCACTCTCTAAAGCACTGAGGATGGTGCGAAAAGAGGCTAGAAGCAAAGCCAGGATTTCTGGTAGGACTGCAGAGCCCTGTTCGACCTCTCCCTACCCCCCTTCCCAGCTCTCCCAGGACTGGCTCTAAAGTAGCACTTGCAACTTTGGAGCCACAGGTAGCATGGAAAGAACTGCACCAGCAGCAGGGGCAGGGGGAGGACACTTTGAATTTGGAGCCTCCGCTCTGACCTCAGAGCACTTTTCCAAGAGTGGAGTTGGGGCTCAGAATTTTCCTATGGCCATCTGTAGCATACCTAGAGGCCACAGGATTGTGTCTTAGGCTGTAGCCTAAACATGCTCATTGAGGAGTGAGCCCAAATATATGAGCACTTACTCTCAAGTAAACATGACATTACACTGTAAAGCATGTAGGAGCAATTTCTGGAGATTGGTGTCACAGGACACTACTGGAGGCTCCCAGGACACTATTGGAGGCTGATCACTCTGCTGTTCAAATCCAGTGATGCTGCAGCAAGGGAAAATAGCTTGCCTTTGAAAGCTGAGATTTGGCAGTGCAGCTGTAGTAGGTACAAGGGCTGTTTTCTCTTCAAATTGCCTCTTTTTGCCCTTACAGCACTGCCACTTTCATGGGCACAGTGAGGGGCACAGGCTGAAAAAAAGGCCATGAGGTTTCTCAGTCTTGCCAACAAGTAAGACCACATGATGCATTTGCAAACATCCAGGAACAGAAGTGCAGTTTCAATGAAAGGCTCTAGCGTAGTGGAGTCATTGATGTATTTGAAACATGGTGCTGGAGGAGCTTTGTGAATATCCTGGATGGACAGAAAGATGAATGAGTGGGTCCTTTATCAGAGCTTTCCCTAGAAGCATAGATGACAAAACTGAGGCTGTCATACTTGGGACACATCACGAGAAGGCAGGTCTTCCTGGAAAAGACAATCAAACTAGAGAAAGTTGAAGGCAGAAGAAGAACAGGAAGCCCAAATATGAGATGAACTGACACCATAAAGGAAGCCAGAGCCATTCTGGGCAGGGCTGTCAGGAACAGGAGAGTCTGGAAGGCTGTTATTTACAGGGTCACCCTAAGTCAGAGATGACTTGACGACACATAGCAACAAGCAGAGTCGGGGCTCACAGGGCTCCAGTGCTGGTGCCTTTCATCAGCAGGGAAGGGAAGGCTCTGTTTCCTCTGAACTTAGTAATCCTCACAGAGACCTGGCTGGGGTGGAGAGGGTGCACTTTCTCAGCAGCAATATGATGCCCACTTTGGTAATGCAAAGTATTTTGGGGTAGTTTAGATTAGATTGGGCAATTGAAGAACCATTAGCTTATACAGCTCTTGCTCCTAGTGGAGATAGCATGGCTAAAACTTATTTTGTTGAGACAAACACAGCTGCCCACATTTGCGGTCTCTACTTGGCTAGAAGCTTGCAGAATAAGTTCCTACGCTTCCAAATGTTCCACTATGGCACTGTTTAAAAGCCCAATCCAGGCATTAATGCATGAGGGTGGGGTAGTCTGGTGAATATACTAGTGCCATTACCCCTGCATTACTACCCACCAAGTGTTCTACGTTGGGCAACTTTTTGCAGGCCTGTGGGTTCCCTATGTGATCTAGACCTCTGCTAGAAGAGCCATCAGAAGGTGAATGCAAAAACATTCAGCAGTTCTGGTGCTTGTACACTCTTGTGGGCACCAGTCAGTAAAAGGTGTTGAGATCTGTCAAAGCCTAGACAAAATGCGTATGGGAGGAAAAGTTAACGAACTGGGGTTAAAACATGGACTATCATATTGTTTGAACTCAACCGAGATAACAAAGTTTGGTTTATGCCACAATAAACCAAACTCTCTTCATAGGTTGTTCATGGCTGAATAGGATTCAGACAACACAATAACCTACATTTCAGCAACAGCCTCATGGTTCCATGACAACCCATATTCAACCCTAAGTGTGGCTTGCGTTGTTTGAACAGGTGCTGTGTCGGTAATGTTGAGACTTGTAGCGCTTTTTCTGTCTAAACAGACATTGGATTGCACCCTATATGATTTTATATGGCCAGTACTGGACAGGCAAGTATTTTTATATCCATGGTTTAAACAGAGAGCTGAAGGTGAGATAACTGAACTGACATTTTAGCCAGAAAATGATGTACAAGTCACAGCTCATATACTTTACTACAACATACTAGATCTCAAAGAGGAAAGGAAAACTTGATATTTTGGCACCTAATAGTCCTATAGATGAGCCTTTCCCAATGTGGTGCCCTCCAGATATTTTGAACTACAACTCCCTACATCCTCCATCATTGGCCAGGTTGGCTAAGATTTATGGGAGTTGAAGTCCAAAACATCTGGAGGGCATCATGTTGGGGAAAACTGCTATAGAGAATTGTAGAGGAAAGGCAAATGGGAGGAATATGACATTAAACTTTATTTTTCTTATTTTCCAGTTTTTTAGCTACTACTTATCAAGGAGGCGTATTTTTAATTGCAATTAAATAATTGCATTTAATTATTCTTAGTGCAGCCACTTGTAGGAAAATGGAAAGATTACAGGTTGTTCAAAGAAAAAGTATTACAACCTCTATCACAAACTCCTGACACTTTTTAAATAGAACTCCAACTATTTCTCTCCAAAAGCATCACTGGACTTCTAAATAAGTTTAGGCACAATCTCCAAGTTGCTCTCAGTGTCTGATGATCCTTCAGTCAAGTGCAGAAAATATGCCAGAGTTCTGCTGCCTTCTCCCACCACCCCAGCAAGTCATACTTTGTGGTGAGTTGAAAGTAAGGAAGCTGCAGGACCGGGGACTTCCACAACTTTGCAGGCATATGCTATGGTTCAGCAGGATAGTGCAATGAAGTCACCAAGAAAGTAGATCAGGCTTTATATCATGATGTAAGACTTGTCAGTTGATTTAGGAGTCAGTGAATGTTTTTGCTTGGACATCTTGTGTAATGCTGCAACAGCACCATCGTGTGGTTTTCCCCCCTCAGAGCACATGAAATAATACAGCAGAATCCTTGGGAAGCATCAGTAATGACAGGAAGGTTGATTCAAGAATCCAGTAAAACATACTGGCCCTATCTAAAACATCAGCTTAATAGCAGCCAACAGCTTTATAGCCCCACTTCTGTACCATCATTAACAATTGCCTAAAGCAGCCATGTTTGCATTTATAATAATTCAATGTAGACAATGGTATACCTTCAAGTCTTTTTAGTATCTGCTAAGGTGCCCCAATCATTATAATTTTTAAACGAACAAAATTTTCTTCTTGACAGATAGAATCCTTAAAAGCAAAGTGAGGTACTCCAGGAAGCCAATTATTATTTTTTATGAAGTCTGCAAGTGTGACTAATTATATCTCCTTTGGCAGCCATTTTGTGTGGACACCCAGAACCATTTCTCAGACTTTCAAATATGCCTACTGGGCCAATAAAGTTGCCTACTTCTAGTTTAATATCTCGTAAGATTTAAATTTGCCAAAAGAACCAAGCCAATGCATGGTCTTTTATAAACCATGAAAAAATGGATGATTTTTTGGGTGAAATAATTTAATCTTTAGTTGATTTTTCCCATTTCTATGTTGTTTTCATTCTACCAATCTACACAGGTAAAATAAACCAGTGCTGGATTACAGTAATGGACTGGATGAAAGCTAAGAAACTGAAGCTCAGTACAGACAAGACTGAGATGATGTTAGTGGGTGGTTCTTCTGATCAGATGGAAGGTGCTCAACCTGCTCTGGATGGGCTCCACTCCTAATGAATAAGCAGGCTTATAGCTTGGGGATTTGCCCTGATCCAACTTTGTCACTTGAGGATCAGGTGGCCTCACAGCAGAGTTCTTTTCACCAGTTTCAGCTGGTGGTCCAGTTACACCCCTGTGTAGATAATCTGATTTCAGAAACCTGTGTCCTTGTAATCACTCAATTAGATTACTGCAATGCACTCTATGCAGAGCTGCCCTTGAACGCTACTCAGAAACTGCAGCTCATGCAGAATGCAACAACCGGATGAACAGGGACCCACAAGTCTGAACATACCAAACCAGTTCCAGTCCACTTGCACTGGCTGCCCGAGTGCTTCTAAGCCCAGTTAAGGTGCTGCTTTTAACCTACAAGGCCTTACATGGTTTGGAACAGAGCACTGTTCCCAACCTTTATCTAACACTTTGCTCAAAATCTTGGTTCTCCCTCCATGTGCCAAATCTGAGGGAAGCTTGGAAGTTGACAACAAGGTTTATGGACAATCACCCCACTGTGGCCTGCTCGGTGCCAACTTTGTCATCCTTTTGGTACCAGGTTTTGCTTTACCTTTACTTGGATATCTGAAGGCTTGAGGGGATTACCATGCCAAGTGCTGTTTACAGGGTTATTCTTCTTTTACTCAAGAAGTCTGTATTTTTATAGGTTCCCTACCTGAAGCAATTTGTGTGGCATAGCATTACATCACACAATACCAGCAGTGATATAATTTGTAAATTTATTTATTTTTCAGCATAAACAGACATACAAATATTTAAATATTTACAAATATATACATGCCAAGGGAGGATTTTGTTTAAAAAGTAAATTAAAAAAGCAAGCGGTAAACTAGCTGTAAGACCAATCCCATTCTGTGCTTTGAAAACAATCAGATGAAGCTCTATTAGTAAGTATTTTGAACTGTAAAGACAAACTGCAAATTGTGTAAATGGCAAAATAGATTCCATATCTGTTGTGGCTTCTCAATGTAGAAAGTCATTAAAATTGCAAGGAAGAGTTGGGAATACGTTTAAACAAACCTAGTTTACCCTCTCTTCTCCAACCGAATAAAATTTCACTAACAGTTTACTTTCCAAAATGACAAGCTTACCTCCTACTTCCCCAGGTAACACATAGGTAAAAATTTAGCTATCTTTCTTAGAAGGGCTGATAAAACATCTCGGAAAAGCATTTTTAATAAAATAACTCCCCAAACCTTAACGATATATTTGGGTTTTTTAAAAATGGCTTTGACCAAGTTGACATTCATTTTTCTAGGTCTAAAAACAAGCTATAAGTTACACTAGTCATAACCTTTGGAACAGATTACAGTCTCCGTAAATTCTGCTTACTTCTTTTGGTACCAGGAAGGGCTCCTAGTTTGGAGGACGGTTTCACAGCCTTTGCACTTGTGCAGTCCTTGGCAGTATGGTAGCTGCATAAGCATTTAGTACAGAAGTCAAAGCCACAGCCTTCACGGATGCATGTTGCCCTTTGCAGATGTGAATCATACTTTGCAGGGGAACCACAGTGATGGCAAATTTTCAGGCTTTCGGTATTTTTCAGAGTCTTTGCAACCTGTTAAAACACACACATACTTAAGTGTTCATCCATTTCCCTGGATCAAAGTTAAGGCAACTGAACACTGAGATCATGCTTTTGCAGTTTTCTTGCCCATCTATAGAAATGCTAAGGCTTCTTGCACTTCAAGAGCTATGCAAGTACACAAACAGAAGCACAGCCTGGTATAAACAGCTAAGTATGTGGCCCACTTAATCTAACTTCACAAAATTTGAACAAATCTAATTGGCATTGAATATGATACAATTTTATATGAAATTGATACCAATAATGTTGCAGTATCTGGCCATCTCTCAAAAGCAAAATGGGGTTTACCTCAGAAAACAGTGTGTGTCGGCTGAAAGAGGAAGAGTTCTGTTTACTCTGGTTGTTAGCCTTAATTCTGGATCCTTTTTTAGAATAACTGATAGATGCAATTTCAACTTTCTGAATGGGAGCCAAAGCTTCTCGGTGTAGAGCATATTCCCTCGTATCGGCCTGTTCAGAGGATTTTGCGTTGTTAGTCTGCCAAGAGAAGAGGATTTTAGCAAGAGGTTCTATTTATTTGTTACATTTATATCCTACCTTTACCCCAAAGACCCCAAGGTGAAATATGTGACCCTCCTCCTGACCTTGTTATCTTGACAACAACCTTGTAAGACAGGTGAGGCTAAGAGTCAGTGACTGCCCCCAAGTCATCCAGTGAGCTTTAAGGCTGACTGAGGACTTGAACCAGGTCTCCCCATTCCAACACTATACCCCCTATACCTGCTTCTGAGAGTGAGCCTTACACACCTCACAAGTTCTTTTTCTTTTATACTAAACTCTTAGTTATCACACTTGGTTGGGACACATCTCTGGACTTACTTCATAACTAGAGTGAACACCACAGGCGCTGCATATCAATAGGGGAGTTTAGCTGGTGTTGGGGTAATGTCTTTCTTCTACCATCCCTAACTGTGTCCCCTCTGGAGAGTCTACTATCTGTCTCGTGGAATTATCTCAGAAACCTGCAGCATGTTAGTTAATGATTTAAAACAGTTACATTCTGCCTTCCCTTATATAGTTCAGTGCAGTTTCGCCAAATTAACAGAATTTGGGTGAGTAACTTAGAACCTTTGATTTAGAAGAGAAATGGTGAACAGGTTATCAGGTTGCAGTTCCCATCAGCTATAGCCAACATAGCCAGTGATGACTAAAGACAGGATGAAGTGGTGCTAAGCCAGGAGTCAGAGGGCTCACTTTCAGAAGCTCAACAGGACCCTGTAGGAAATGGTATGAGCCAGTGTGGCACAGAGGCTAGAGTGGGACTTAGGAAATCCAGGCTCTGGTCTCTACTTGGCCATGCAGTTCACTGAGCGACTTTGGGTCAGTCACGGACTCTGCAGCCTAACCTACACCACAGGGTTGTTGAGTAGAAATGGGAGAGGATTGTGTAAGCAACCCTGGGTTCCCTGGAGGCAAAAGGGTAGGGTCTCAATATAATAAATAAGATTGGGTACTTTAAAATAAATAAAATTGGGACCAAAGGATGTTTTATGCAAGAAAAAAGGGGTTACATGCTAAGGCTAATCTCAGAATTAGGAGGATTCCTTTTCTGTCCATTTCTAGGTAGAAGCCAGTACAAACAGTAAAGTGTCATTGCCTTCAATAGCTGGCCTTTCCAGGTTACATACAGATAAAACAGAGGCAACCTGACAACAACTTCTACTCACAAGGCTAGTGCAAACAGAAGTTCCCAATATTAAAATTAGAAAAGCGAGAAATATGGGTGACGCATTAAACTTGTGAGCAATGCAAACATCTATGTTGCTTATCTATGTTGTAAGCCGCCCCGAGGCTTCGGCGAATGGGGCGGCATAAAAATGTTTTAATAAATAAATAAATAAAATAAACATGCATGGACTTCACCGAGAAAGTAAGGTTAAGAATTTATAGGTTTTCCACAAAATATAGATTAAGGAGAGAAAAAAAGTCTAAGTCATAGATTAAATGCCTAAATCAGCCACAGAACAGGCTGTTAACTGAATTAGGGAGAAACTGATGTACTAATGGTACAGCTCCTAAACAAGTATTGTCCTGGAGAGGAGCCAAAAGCTAAAAAGTATAGTGGGAGTTGCCTTGAAGAGAAGGTTTTGCAATGCCTTTTCTAAAAGAAATCTATCCCTTAAATAAATAAACAAACAAACAAACCAAGTCATGGGGAACCCTGGGAACTCTAATTAGCTGTTTGCTTTTCCTATAAGATCTGTAGTTTCAGATTTGCTTTTGTATGAACTGCATCTTATGCCTCAAATTAAACATGGCCTATGGACAAAAGAAACATGTTGGCTTATTGAACAGTGCAATCCTAAGGGACTTATCCTCAGATAGAGGACTACAAACTTTTGAGTATTCCTCAAAATTTCCATTTGAAAAGCTGAAAACAAGGCCAGGGTTGAGGGGAAAACACAGGGGTTTGCCCTATTTTTTCTCCAGGTGTTAACTTCTTCCCAAAAAACCTTGTGCCACTTCCATTTGCAAAAGCTCTTGTGAAGTTAAAAGTCCTTTCACTGTGAAAGTCCTTGCACTATGAAATGCAAAGGACTCTGGGATAGATTAATGGAAACCCAGGCTAGGAACTAGTAAATAATTTTAGTCAAACTATGCAGATCAAAGAATAATGAACAAATTTCATTTTACATTTACATTATAGATTAATAAAACTTGTAAGCAGAAACTTTTCTTTTTACCTTTGCTTCAAGAATAAAAACAAAGTACAGACTTCCAGACAAAGGGGAAAAATACAGAAGCTTACCAAAGTTAATTCTAGTGCTTTATTATACATCTGGAAAGCCCACTTGTCATCCTGTAGAATTTTCTTCCATGTTGTGCTCACTTTTGCCACACTGTTATGAAAACAAATGACACTTATATTCAGAAACAAAAGCAAATATCAAGTACAGTTCTGTCCAATGACAGTTTCAAGGGACAATTTGTATGTCATTGCATTGTTGTAATACAAATAACTGAGTTTTAAAAAGTTGAACAGGGCTGTTAAGGACTGGACATTTTACAGTGCCTTCAATAATAGTTGCCCTAAGTCAGAGATGACTTGATGGCCAACTAACAACAAAAACACAAGAAACAGGCTAAATTAACATAAAAGTATCTATATTCTCTTTCCCCTTTTCCCCCTCCCCCCACACCCAGTCCACTACTTCTTGGAAATGATAGGTTGTGACTCCTTAAAGAGAAAAAAAATTCAGAATGTCTATTTGCTTCATGGAACACATTCCGAGCCTATCCTAAATTAGTTTCAGTTTAAATAAATAACACAGAAAAGGGAGAGGATAGATGGTGCGTTGCTTAATATCCAGAATAGCAGCTTTTTTCCACTGATGCCTTCACAAGTTAAATTTAATGCAGCTCATTGTGATGTATTAGTGTATTAGTGAAGGTCCAAGTTCTATATAGGATGGAATTTCAGTGCTGATTGCAAGATCTGCTGCAAAAACACTGAGAAAAAATGAATGCAGATGCAATTCCTTAAGCTGTCATATAAGCTATGTTCATAATTAGCTTTCATTTGTGAGGCCAGTTCTCCAAATACAGCTTGACTAATTTTCCTCATGCAGTAGTTTTACATGAAAAAACCTTGGCTACTGCACAGGTGAATAGGCCTTGTAAGCCGCCCTGAGGCTTTCTGTGATGGGGGCGGCATAAAAATGCTATAAATAAACAAACAAACAAAACCTGTATAGTTAATAATAGGTTAAGCAACACTTCTCCAAACACAAAACTCACTTTATCAAGTCCATGCAACTGAGATGTCTTAAGATGTTTGCTAATAGATGTCTGAATTTCCCATGGAATAGTTCACTAAGTATGTCCAGCTTATCTAGTCCCACTTTTTTCCCAATAAGATTAATAAAGTCCATGCTATGTCTGGAAGCTATCTTGTCTAATACATGAGCCCATGTCTTTTGATTCCTTTTTGATGTTTTCTTCAAAGTTGAACAGACAAGTTCCTCAAAATGGAGGACTGGAAGCAAATTCTTTCTTTGACTAAAACTGTGATTTGGTGTATCATTAATGTTTCCTGCCAATATAACATCATGTTCACTGGATTCAGGCTGATTGCCCAACAGAGAAGAATATCCACTGTCCTCATTTCCAATGTCCATTTCAATGGTATTCATATGCCTCCACAATAGTCGGTGGTTTTCTTTGTTATGTATGGTCTTCCCTTCACTTTTGATGCTGACATTTTTGGGACTTTCGTGCTGCAGGTCACTATGTACTAGCCTTTCTTTAGTGCACTCTTTACAAAACTCTTCATTGTGATTAGCGATAGATGGATCTTCTGATCTTTTCTCTGTCCCAGTTGATTTCAATGGTGTAAGTCCACAGTGAACATGGGAACAATTAATATCACGCTTCATTTTTGGTGGTTAAGATTGCTTCTAAAGTATGCTGCTGATTAGTATCCTAAAAACAAAGATAACCCATTAGTCACAATATTAGTACAATGACTGTTAACCTTTAATTATTGTGTTCATAATTTTGTAAACAGGCCTAGGAACACTGCTTCAAGATAGTGTGTAAATACGTGGAAAACAAATTAAACAAGTCTATAAAATAAAATTGTAAGATATCTATCATCTGATACAAGGATAAACTACCAAATTAAAAATGATCACTCTGTGTAGTCACAAGGAGTATCAGAATATCCCTATGAAGGCAGATTTGTTTCATTTTCTGTTGGAAACCATTCAAAATGACAACAGCTATGGGCAGTCTGACCATCATCAAGCTAGCTTGGTTTGGGCTGAAAGTTCATGTAACCTGCTAAGCAGTTAACCTTTAGGGGCTTGTGAGGTGAGGCATTCCCTAGCTGGCAGATTTCCTGCACGAGCAGGACAGTTGAGGTCACTTCCAACTCTATGGTTAGACTACAGGCTGTTGTCTTTGATGTTTCTTTCACTGGGGTTGTGTGATGCTTTACAGACTCTGTTCCGCAGGGCTTGGCGGGCTCATTCAGCCCAGCCTCTTCTCCCATATGGGACCTGCAAGCTTGACAGAGGGCAGCCAAGGGCGGCCTGGAAAGGAGCGCGGGAGAGCAGAGAGCAGAGTCGGCGCTAATTTCTTTCTTTCGGGTCAACCCCATCAACGCGGGGCCTTTTTTTCCCCAGAGAGGTGAAACGGATCCCTGCCCCGCGCTGCCCCCCCAAGCACGGCGCGCGCTCGCGCGTGCTCGACCGCCCAGAGGCGCCCCCTCCCCAGCAAAACTGGCGGGCTCCAGGTAGAGGGAGCGGGGGAGCCACGAAGCCGCCCGCGCGCCTTTCGGGCGTGCAGCCCACCTTGAGGCGCCCCCAGAGAAAGGGTCGGTGCAGAAAAGGGTAGGAGGGTGGGAACTGGCGGGGAGAGCCTCCCGCACAGCCCTTCCTTACACGCACACACGTGCTTCGCAAGACAGCGCTGGAGATACGGGTGCTGAGGGGAAAACCTCCCTCAGAGGTGTTTCTCCTGTGTGTGATGAGAAGAGGGGGAGAGGAAGAGTATGCAGTCCTGCACGAGTTCCAGGGGTCGACCAGAGGCGGGGGAATGAGCCATTATTTTCTGCCGCCGTCATTACGCGGGAGAGCCGTGGGACTTCTCCCGCCGGCGGGACTTCCCTCCAGCGACTTTCCTACTACAGGAATTTAGAGAAAAGCCTTTTTTCTGGGAGGGTGGATTTTTTTTTCTTTTAGGACCCCCACCAACCCCAGCCATCGCGAAGTTAGGTCGCCTTTCCCACACTAGCCATCCTTCCCCCCCCCCCCAACTTTTCTAGGGGAGATCCAAGCCACACTTGCCCCCGCATCTCCTAAGAATACCATACAAGCCCATGCAGGTGCGTTTCGCTCCCATCCTCCAGATTCATGCCAACGCGGGCGCGGTACCTGGAACGACTTCCTGGTCAGCCGGCGCTGCTTCCCCTTTGCCTTCTACTGCAGCACTGCACTTCACTCTACTCTGGGCGGACTCCTTTTTCCGGGTGCTTCGTAAAACTTTTGAATCTGGTATCCAAAACCAGAGAGCCAGTTGGAAGGAGCTGTTACGAGCCGGCAACCAATCAAGAGGAGGCGAGAGGCGGCGTCCAATGCCCGCTCGCGAGAGGTGGGGCTCTCGTTGCGGGCGAGGACTTTTTCTTCCACTCCTTCTGCCGCCGGCTCTCTTCGTCAGCCAAGAGATTTAAAGGTTAAGAGCGCGAGGCGCCGCGCGGGGAACCAGGCGGCCGGCGCGCGCGCGCGCTCTTGTGAGGGAGGGAGGGAGGGAGGAGCAGCAGTGCCTCCTAGAACGCGGGAGATGCTGCGCGGCGCTTGCCCAGGAGTGGGAAAGGCTCGCGCGCTCCTCGCTAGGGTCATTTTATTGGACGGGGCCTCCGCTGCCTCATCCCAGGCTTCTGCGCACTCGAGAAGCATCCGCGGGGCGCGGGCTGCCGTGCGGGGGGCCTGCGCTCGCCTCGCCCTTCTGAGGGCTCTTGCCAGGCTGTCTGAGCACCCACGGCCAGGTTAGGTTACTGGCGGCCTGTCCCCGAGCGCTCCCAATCCTATTAGATTAGAGGGGTCTTTTTTTGGGGGGGGGGGAGTAGCTTAGGTGAAAGAGGGTGCTATAGTAAAGCCCCTTGACTTAAGCCTTTGCGGTCCTGGGCAACTTCAACCAAAGCTCCTGTGGAAGCCGAAATAATTTGGCACTTAACTTAAAACAAAAAACAGGGCTAGTGTTTACAAAATAGCGCTTGGTCAGTGAGTGCTTTCCTTATTAATATCCAGCGAATGGGGGTGGGTGGTGGTTTCCTGTAGGTCGCCCTTCTAAGTAAGGCTCCTGCCCGCCAGGTGTGAACCCCATTGTCCCAACTAAACACAAACGCTCTGCTGGATCAAACCAGAGGGCTGTCTAGTTCAGCATCTGTTTAATACCATGACCAACCAGCTGCCCATGAGAAACCCAAGAGCAGGATGTGAGTTCAATGTCACCCTTCTATGTTCCCCAGGAAGTGATCACCTACAAGCACTTAACAAGAGGTGTTGCCTCTTTAGCTTGAACTTCTACATATGACATCCTCATGGCTTCTTGTGCATACAAGTTATGTATAAGCAATCTGAGCATATTTGCATAGAATCCCTGGTCTAGTCTAGGGTTTGGTCTCGCACACTGAACTGGGGAAAATTCCCAAGCTATGGTTCAGTGTTATATAAAGTTTTCTTCTGACACTGTGCTGGCTAGTTAGCACCATTTTACATACCCTAGTTTCCTCTTCAAGGCCCAGTTGGTACAATCATACCAAAACCATCATAACTATTAGGGATCAGACAAGCCATGGCAATAAAGTTCAGTTTAAGCAATAGAGTATGAAAACTACAGCAAGCCCCCCATCTTAAATACAAAATTTTCTTACTGGTTTTACTGAAAGTTGGTTGTGCTTATCTTGCAACGCTCTTCCCCATCAATTTATAGTGCACAGTGCTAAAAGAGATAGCTCAAGTGAGTATTTGTTATATATATATATATTTTTCCACAACACAGGAAATTTTGTGGCTGCTCAGTATTCTGTTCCTACAGCAGCAAAGCAGTGTCCACAAGGACTCCCTCACTAGTGTTTTCTAGCAACTTAAGAAAAATCCTGGCCCTGCTACTGGAGGCAGGATGCAGCTGTCACGGCTAGAAATACCAATTGAAAGGCTGATCTTTCATAAATTTATTTACCCTCAAGTACACCAGTGCCAGAAGCAGTACTAAATGATTCCATGAGTGGTGCTGCCAAAATGCTAGATGTGCGTCCATTAGTAACAACTTCGTAGTGTGGGCAAGTGTAACTATCAAACAAGGATGATACTGCCCCTCAAAGAGGGTCATCTGTTACATTCAGATGGGATATTGTCGTACTAAACCATGGCAAGCAGAAATCTTTCTGCCACAAATGTTAAGATAGGGATGTTCCAACTATTCAGATAAGTACTTCCCTTCTGCTTCTCCCTCTGTGCATAAAGATAAGGCAACCTATATATAATTGTGGATAAAGTACTTTACTTAAAGGGCAAACCTACTGTCTACTCAGTGGGACATACCCCATGAAATTCTATCACTATACTTAACAAGTAACTTCCCTGAAATGTTATAATTGTTTTGCCACTACTTTCTCTTCTCCCCAGCACCATTTGTCTTGCAAAAATCTGTTCCAGAGTGTTGGGGAGATGTCTCTAACAATGTGGAAGGCAGCACTGGAATTGAATCAGTAACAGCGCCTTCCCCAATTCCACCAGCATGATCCCATTCTGAATCATAAACCCTTCCCAAAATGGAAGAAATCTGACCTTGCCTTTAGATCCAAGTAGCTCTGAAAGTTCAACCTATTTAGGGCTTCCATATGCAAGCCCCTTACAGTGCCTTTCAGAAGTATTTGCCACCCCTTGACTTTTCCATGTTTTGTTGTGCTACAACCTGGACTGGGAATGGATTGCATCGGTATGACCACGTAAATCATACAAACTACTCAATGCTGTGAAGCTGCAAATTATTTTTTTATTGTAGCACAAGTGTTAAGTAAACAAAAACAAACTGACACTTGTTGGTTGCAAAAGTATTCACCCCCCCCCATGTTAATAATTGGGAAAACATCTGTGGCAGCAATTATAGCCATGAATTTTCTTGGGTTAGTCTCTTTCAGCTTTGCATATCTGCATCCTGCAATGCTTGCTCATTCTTCTGGGCAAAATCACTTCGACTCTGTCAACATAGGGACTATGTTGTCGTGAACAGCAACTTTCAATTGTTGCAACATATCCTCAACTGAAGAATAGGATTTGGCAAAACATCATAAAACATTCATGTTCTTGTTTTTAAACCACTTCAGTACCTATGATCACAGTTATTGTCCTGCTGAAAGATGAACTTCTACCCAAGTCCTGAGTTCTTTGCAAACCAAACCAATTTATCCTGTAGAATTGCCCCATATTTCTCTCCATCGATCCTGCCCTCATTCCTGACCAATTTCCCAGTCTCAGACGAGGAAGCCATCTCCACATGATGCTACCACCAGTGTGCTTCACTGTGGAAATGGTATTCTCCAGTCAATAAGCACTGTTGGTTTTAAGACCCATGCAGCATTTTGTAGCAAGGACAAAAATTCCATTTGGGTCTCATCAGACCAAAGAACATATTCCTACATGCCTTTTTACAATTTCCAATGGACTTTAATATGGATTTGTTTCATCAATGGCTTCCTTATCACAACTTTTCCATAAAGCTCAGGTTTGTGGAATGTATGAACAATAGTTTTCACATGGGTAGTTTCTCCCAGCTCAGCCATAGTTCTCTACAGCTTCTTCGGAGTTGCCATTTGCCTCTTCGTTGCTTCTTTGACTAATGACCTCCTCTGCTGTTCACCAAATTCTGGTGGATGGCCTTCTTTAGTCAGAGTTGCATCTGAGTCAATCTGTAACAATGGATTTAATCACATCTTGTTTATTCCTTATACTCCCTCTGATTTGTGCTTCTGCACAATTCAATCCTGGAGTTGTTTTTGGTAGCTCCTTGGTTTTTGTGATACTGTTTGTTCAAATAAGCTCTGCCACAAATTCTGGAACCTTCCAAAAAGAGGAACATTTTATCTCAGATCATGTGGAACTAAAGTTGCAAACAAATGGGACTCAGTTCAACTACTTACACTAGATCTCTTCTGGAGGCACGGGGTTTACACCAGAACTTATTTAAGCATGCCAAAATAAAAGGCGTGAGCATTTCTGCAACCAATATATACCAGTTTGTTTTTATTTAGCTTTTTGCCACACTAAATGCGCTTTGTACCTGCACAGTGTTGAGGTGTTTGTGTACATCAAGTGGTAATGATACCAATGAAATCTCTTTTCAGGCTGTAACAAAGTAACATGTGGAAAAGTCCAAGGGAAGTGAGTACTTCTACAAGAGACTGCAAATCTTGGTGCATGGATGCATCTTTCCTTGAAAAAGGGAGACAGTTAACTCTTCCAAGTAAATACATGTCAGTCATTTAGTTCTGGTGATCCCATATGTAGGTAAAAGAATTTGAGAAGAAATCTGAGGTAGTTTTCCCTCTTTCCCAAAGTTTAGAATAAAAAAAGTCTTGTGACCACTCAGAAAACCTCTTTTAAAGGGAAAAATGGATACTGCTACAACAGGAAATACCATGGCTTTACCTCATCTTTCAAGTAATTATGAGAAATCATGGAAGCAGTGTTGCAAAAAGGGCAGCATGACAAAAAATAGGTTATTTTACACCCTTCTACATTTCTGCTGCAAGCTACAGTTCCTGGATCAACTACAGTTACAACCAATCACCTATAGCAATTACCATGGATGGCAAGTTTCCTGACCTAAGTCACGTCATCTCAGCAAGGTCAGCTAGTGTAAAAAAAGATGATAGGCCCATCTAGAACTCTCATATAGTTCTTGTCAAATACATTTGTGTGTATATGTGCACGCGTGCGCACACACACACACACACACACACACAATTTTATACAGAATTTATCACCTGCTTTCTCTGCTACAAGATGCTGCATGTTTGTATTAAATAATTTGTTAATACCAGCAATACAATGCTCTCTGTTGGTATAAGCTTTTTTAAACTTGTTCTCAACACTTTTCCAGGTTGGGTTTGTAAACCATTATAATGTCCTTGCACATTTCTCTCTTCCAAAACACTTGACTGCTGTTATGGTATCCAGAAGGGTTTTACAACTAGAAATCATAGATACTGATTACTGGCAAAATATGCTTAAGTGCCAGTTTTGTGCATGCACGTGCGTGTAAAAATTCCCTCTTTAATTTTTTATTTAACAAATTTATGACTACCCAGCTTAAATTGAACCTTAAAATTTATTATTTGGTGGAGTTCTTTTCACTGGATAATCAACAGCTTCAAAGTGCACAGAAAAAGAATGTATGTGCTTAGAAAGCTGATTTGATCAGTTTTTTTCAGTTACTGTTGATGAAAAAGCATAAGCAAGCTTAATGTGTAGGCAAACAAATTATTATATGGCAAACTAAGCCAAACTTGCATTTAAATAAGTGGCATAGTAACTTTATTTGTAATGATATTATTTATTAACATTATATATTGCCTTATTTGCTAAAAGCCCAATAAAGATATACACAAGATTTCTTTTTTAAAAACCTTATAAACAAACAAGAACAGTAAAGAGGGTAAAATATTTAAAATTAAATAATTTAAAAAGCTAAAATGAAAAGATGCATCTTTCCACCTTTCTAAAAGGCATGAATGTCAGGTATAAGAGCAGATCCTGACCAAGCACATTCTTTAATTATTATCACTATTATTATTTCATTATATGTATACCTTAAGTTTCTTCCTCTTGCAAGGAACTAAAGGCAGCTTCTAAGGTTACCCTTCTCTCCATTTTATACTCACAACAAAAACCCTGTGAGGTAGGTTAGGTTGAAAAGATGTGACTGGCCCAAAGTCACCCAGTGAGCTCCAGGGATGAGCGGGGACCCAGAGATCCCAAATCCTCAGTCCAACACTCTAACCATTATGGCACAATGGCTCTCATAATTCTACAAATTAGGATTGATGCTGTAGACAGCACATTCACACATGCTCAGCAAACCGACCTTTGTGGGTAATAATACCTTCAAAGGCACCTGTCCTAGCAATCTTAATAACTGGACAAGTTCATGAGGAAATAGACAAGTTCTTATAATGAGAGTACTGTGGGAATTGCAAATTATATACTACCATTCACTTTTCTTGTCTCATTCGAATAGGGTAATTCCAATCTCAGAATCACTGTTGTTCTATCATTGACCATTTTAACACCTTGTGAAATCATATGAAAGGCATTAATAATATTGCATCCTTATTTGCAGAAATGGAGGTCACAATAATAAAAATCTACCTTTAAATGGAAATATGTCATAGAGGGTTAGTTAACATGTAAATTAAATTTATATAACTGACCCAAATCGCCAAAATTTTAGGATAATCTTTATCTTTGTGTCTAGGAACAGAAGGAAATTGTTGACTCTGGTTGTTTAATTACCTCCTATGTGAAGTATAACTTCAGAATATTTATTCTCCTTTAGACTAGCCAAAAGGCATTCACAAATGAACGTATGTGGTACAATGATTCCACTAAACAAATTCATGGTTCTCATTTTTAAGCTTTAAAATATGTAGCTTACACCATAGCTCTGCTCATGGGCTAGGCATAGACTTTTTTTTTCAGAGTCTATTCTGAGAGTGGTAGCACACTCTGCACTCAAGCTGTGCATTATCACTGCTGCCCAATGCCACCTGCAAGCTGCAGTGTGTCCAGTGCGGCTTTTGAGTATTCAATAATGACTGTTGCTTATTATGTTGTCTGAACTCGGGGGGCCAGAAATTGCATGAAGCTAGAACAAGCTGTGCTTTATGTAAGAGCTGACCTGGGTTTAGATGACATGACAAGTGCAGGTTGAGTATTCATAATGGGCTTAAGCACATGCCACAATGACTTATTTGATAGTGCATAGTGGCTCAATTTCTATGTAGTAAGGAAACGTGGGTCAAGGAGCAGCACACTATGACACAGGTATGTGAGTAAGAACACTGCTTTCATTATTCTTTAGTGCAAAACTATGCTATGATTCCAAACACATAGCCTTAAATTGTGGAGTAGGCTTCATGAACACAAAATAAAGAGGCAACCATTAACAACCCATCCTTTGACTAAAGCAGCAGGCAGAAGATTAAAAATGTGATTCCAATGCAGAAATTGTATTCATTAGCATAATTAATTTTGAAGTCCAACTGAAAATGGCTGTTGCTTTTGGGTTTTCAATTAAGTTAAATCTAAATCATAACATTAACTTAGAATATGGCATTGATCTAGGCCAGGGGTCGGCAACCTTTAACACTCAAAGAGCCATTTGGACCCGTTTCCCACACAAAAGAAAACACCGGGAGCCACAAACCCCTTTTGACATCTAAAATGAAGATAACACTGCATATATTGTTTTTTACCTTAATGCTATGTATATCTTCATTATGATTTAGCTGCAGCTCTTGTTCAGTCACTAAAAACTGTTATTTTTAATCTTACATTATAAACTAGTAGGACTCCTTTCATATATCTTGAATAGGAGAACAGCCTCCTGAAGAGTCAAAGTCAGTGCTAAAGGGCTGCATGTATTAAACAGCAAACCCCATAAGTTTGTCAGCTGTAAAAGCAAATGGATCTATCCACATCCCATTAAACATTTGGTTTTCTTCAGAAACTTTTCTTCGATTTATCCATGGTTGGCCTGGGGGTGGGGGGAGCTCAGTAAATCAGCGGAGGTCTGTGACTGCTGGAGATATAGGTGTGTTTAGTGACTGATTAACAGATAAAACAGTCAAGTGCTGTGAATTGTGACAGGTCCCAAGCGCAGCTTTTAACATTCAGATGAAGGAGATTGCATTGGAACAGAGAATCTTCAGCAGAGTTTCCTGTAACATGAGAGCCTGCAGGAAGTTTGTTTAGCAGAGGAATGTAGTGATTTACTTAACTAGCTGATTTACTTAAATAGCTAGGGCTTAATTCCTGAATGGAGCATCAAGCAGATCAGCAGCTGTGCAGGTGCACATTTTGAGTGATGGAGTTCAAGAGCCACGTGCAGCTCTGGAGCCATGGGTTGCCGATCCCTGATCTAGACCTTATTCTTGCCAGAGGCCATCTAGTGTTAGGAAGGAAAGGAAAATAATTAAAGTTTCCTCCTCCATTTTAGCCACTTCTGTCTCTTTGCTAGAATAAGGGTGTCCTAAGGGCAGAAGCCTAATTCCAACTCCATTTTTCTAGCTGTGAACAAGTACTTGAGAGTTGGCACATAATCAGTTCTTTGCACATCTCTGAAGTGTAGAATTCTAGTATCCAGTCAAGATTAGAAACTAGACTCCCCTAAGTGTAAACAATGAAGTAATTACATTTCTTATAGAAGCATTTTAGCTTCTACCTCAAAAATGCAGTCTAGTTGATGAAGCCCTTTTCCATAAGTAGAGAGATATTTCTGAACCAGCTGAGCCCAAGCAAGCAGACATTCAACAAACTACTTTGTATGTATTTGCATACCTGTGGTGAAGATCACCTCAGCCTGGTTGGGTCATTTTCTGAAACAAGTTCCATAAGAATCTCATAGTCAGCATATTCTTTTAGGGACTGTATCATTTCATCTAGCAGTTTCTCCCCCAACATGAACCTTGCAATGTGATGCACCGATTTGCTTATTCTGTGGTCAGTAACCCGATCCTGAGGAAAGTTGTAGGTTCTGATTTTTTCAGATCTTCCTTTGCTCCCAATCTAAATAAGAAGAATCCAATCAGTACTTTATTCACATGTTGCTCCATGAATGCTGAATGTTTAGGTATTTTTCATTTTTTTCTTTCCACAAGAGAAGCATATTTTGTTTTTCAGGAAAGCAATTGATACAGCATCAATGTATACAATCCTTTATACAAGTAACATAAGAAAAAAGGACCCTGAATACAGAAATCTGTACTGCCTGAATAAAATAGAAGAACATGTAGAAGGAAAATGTGGGAGGAAAGGCATTGTGTCTACTACTCAATGTCAACTATTATAAATAAGAGACACAGAATATATTGCATTTCTTTTTAATTTTCACCTTCTGACAAACTGAGCCATCACTTCACTCAGACAATCTAAATAATGAGGATGGGGACATATACCTGGATATCCCTAAGCTACTCAGGAGCAACTTGTTAAAATGTAGAGACTCTATTCCCCGCCTCCCCTCACCCCCAGCCATGACTCTGACTCATTGTGGGAGAGAAAAGCTGGAATTTGTAGTTTACATGCCACAATAAACAAACCATGGAAGGAGGGTATGTGGTTCATTCGGCTACTTTTGCTTCGGTGGAAGCAATGAAGGTAGTATGCATGAACAGTCTGCTTATAAACGATAATCCAGAATTTACCCAAATTTAATCTTACATAAAAACCAAGCCAATATGATGTGCTGGTTCTTTGCAGACTGACAGGGATACTGCAGCATAAGCAACAGCTTAGACTAATGTAAAAAGTGGGATGCAACCAATGACTATACAAAAGCATAGATGTAAGAGTTAACAAGATAAGCACTACAGGCAACATCTTTCTCCATGAAATATTCCATAAGCACACAGAACAAAAATATGAATAGATGCTTCAGATGATATAGTCTTTGCTGGACATATCAGAATTCAAAGAGAGATCAAATGTTTTAATCTGCTCCACAGAAACACTCCTTAATCTTGCAAAACTAGCATACCAAGTAAATGGAGTATTTCCCTCAAGATTCCAAAATAGCACAGCTCAGCAACAGGTACATCCTGTAGGACTTCAGCTCTAGCTCATAATTTACCAGTTATTCCACACTGTTGTGCCTTTAAGAACCTCATTTTCTTCCCCTCACAATGCAAGCAAAAGGATCATTAGGACCTGTTCACTTGGACTGTCCCTGCCTCCCCAGGAACAACTGACATCAATTGCTCTGTAAGAAGGAGCATCAGGTGCTGACTCCTGCTCAGGTGGGACTAGTTGTGTTGTTCAATTTATTTGCAGAGGTGGGGGCAGGGGATATACATTCTGTAAATACTGTAGGGCTGTTTGCATACAATACAACTGAGGCATACATCTACTAAATAGATATAGATATTCAAAGTTTCAGGGTCTTAATATCTTTGTTATACCTCAACCACTCCTCCATCCTAAATACACATCAACAAGCACCTTCTTGCTATGCTAGAATTCACACACACACACTATGGATGAAGAATAAACTAAATATTACCTGAATCTTTCTGACAGTTTGTCTCTTCCTTGACTCCTCCTCAAGTTTGATACTATATATTCTGGCACGAAGGATCTGAAGAGCTTTTTCCTTATTTTTGATTTGGGATCTTTCTTGTTGACATTCAGACACTACACCTATAGCAGCAAAAAAGTAATTACCAGACAAAAATAAAATGGAAAGCAATAAAGAATGGATATAGGGGAAAAATTGAGGAAACATGAGATTTGACATATACATTGAAAAAATAGTCTCTCCCCCCCACCCCATTACTGCTATTTTTTAAATAATTAAGCCCCCAGACTGGGATGTTAGGATGGGCTACTACTGAAGCTGTAGCAGTGTTAAGTCTGGTGACCACTAGAATGACAGGTACATCATCTGAGTAACACTGAAATAGAAGATCCATTGAACATCCTTCTCAGGGGCTTATAAGCAGTTTGGAGACACTTCTCATTCTGAAGTATCTTGTTCTGAAGCAAGAAACTTCTAACTCTGAGAACAAATTTACAATAAGGTCTGCTCTGTTACAACTAAAGAAAGGGAGTGAGATTAGAAAAAGCTGTATCTAAAGTCAGTTCTGAGAAAGCAGCTATTTGCTTATGTTCAACTACAGGCAAATTATTCAAGAAGCAAACTCAGCCTGCTGCTCAAGCTCTTAAGGGGAATCCAGTGGTGGTACATGCTGCATGAGCTCCCTGTGCTCTTGGCCTTCATTGCTCCTGCATACTATAAGCCACTTTTCTCTCCACCCAGCCCTCTTTCCCTTAAGCTGGAGATAGAGGGCCATTCTGCATGTGAGGCATCTGTCCCGCTACTGAGCCAAGCCCCCTCAGCTTTTAGGTGAGAAGAGACTTTCAACAACAGATTTTACCCAAATGGAAATAATGTTCTTATTTACCCGTTGGAATATGGACTATCCGTACAGCACTGTCAGTTTTATTTACATGCTGACCACCAGCTCCACTGGCTCGTTTAGTTTCAATACGCAGCTCTTTAGGTTTTATTATCAGATTTATCTGCAAGGAGAGAGTGACACTCTGTGCTTATTCTTTGTTTACTAAGAATAGCTATGTTTGTTTACAGATTGTTTTTATTTCAGCAAACTGCATGATACATGTTTCCTTGAGAGATCTGACAACTTATTTAACCCTCTAATTCTTCTGAAACAATCAGCTTTCATCCTCTAAACATGGTGTGAACAGAAAGAGTCTAACTGAATTTGAATAGGCAAGCAGAATATTTATACCTCATTTGGTTGTGGTAATACTGCAACAGTCATTGTGCTGGTATGAATGCGGCCTTTTTTCTCTGTATCAGGTACTCGCTGTACACGATGTACTCCTCCTTCGAATTTCATATGCTGATAAGCTTCATGACCCGCTATATTGGCAGATGCGTGTCTCAAACCACCTTAAATTTTTAAAAAAGAAAAAAAACACAGTATAATCCTACCGAAATGGGTCGTTGAAAGATGTATTTTGTGACTAATGACTTCTAAGCAGGTGATGCCTTTTTAATATCTAAGGACAGTGGTGGATGCCTGTTGGCAAGAGGTCCCCCCGCCCCCCGCCCCGACAGACCTTTCCCTTGCAAGTGTCAGCAAAAGAAACAGTTCCTTTACTTCTGATCATTCCTGAGGGATAGGGTTATGGTGCTTCCCTTGTGCTGGAGAGGGAAATCCTAGTTTTCCAAGCTAGTACTAAGTAGGTAAGTTCTTGATGAGTCTCCACAGTGCCATGGGCCTTGCCAGAAGTAGTCCAGGGCTGCACATAGCCAGTGGGTTGTGCACCCCAATATATATTAAGAGCAAACACTAATGTTCAGTTATATAGCCAAAATAAGGCTATATAACTGAACTGAGAAGCAAAAAGTGGATACCGACATGCCTGAGGGACTCCCAAGTTTTAGAAAATTAGAAAAATGTTTAGGGAAAAAATCCTAAGGGGCCAGCCTACCAGGAAAATAGGCCAATGCTATTGTGGGGGCGGGGCAGAAAACCAAGAGAATGAAAGGGAACTGAAGTATATTTTTTTTAAAAGACATGAATGGCTAGTACCCTGAACAAGAAAAAACCTACAGCACATTTGTTGACAGTTTTACTTGTATATATGTTATTATTACACTGGTTGAACTTATACAATTATATCTTCACTTATTAAGCAAAAAATATGTGCAAGTCTTACTCAGGCATGCAAATAAGCAGAACACATTTTTAAACATCAGCTATACATCTGAGAAATCTGATCAGATCACATTTCCTAGATGTATATATACTGCTGTTTAAACATGATTGGGCGCAACAGCCATATTAGGTGTGGAAAGAATCAGTTGAACAATGGTTGTTTTGCAGCAATTGTAGTATGTCTGCCTGCCCTAAGTATCTTTTATAATGGTGTCTTGGTTACTTACCTACATCACTAGGAGTATATTCCAGAATTTCAAAATTCCAATTTTTATATGCCGCATACTGTTGATACATATCAAACATCTCTGCTGTAAATAGCATTGCTTCTTGCCCTCCAACCCCAGCAGTCACTTCCATAATAAGATCACTTTTGTCAGTTTCTTCTGAAGGTATCAAAAGCAAAACTATCTGCAACACACAAAAAGGAAAATTTCTGTAAAATTCCTTCAGTTAACATTATTCTATCATGTATTTTTCTGGTATTCATTCCCAAAGCTAAGCACACATGTGAAATTTCCCCTTCTGTTCAGCATTCAATTCTACCTTTTATATCCAGTAACCTTTTGAGGGCTGGAGAAAAGATGAAGAACAGACATCAAGTGGCAAAGCAGGAATATATAGAATTAAAACTTCAAAGCTACCAGTTCTGTCCATTCTTTTGATTAAACTGACTGCCAATTCAGTTTAATTGGGATCAAGTCTACATGAATAGATTCTACACCTTTTAACTTTGATGGTGGAAGACTGTCTGATAATGCTCCAGCTCCATTATTCACAGATGTTTTAACCTAAAGCCCTTGTTAAGACAGAAATTTCAGATTGTGTGCAGGCTTTAGAGATAGTGTCCTACATTTAACCAGACAGTCTTGAAAAGCACATTTTAAGCCAATTACAAAGACTTTCTCCTGAGTATAGAAGTAGTCACAATGATAGTTTAGGTAGCTCAGATGTACATTAAAAAGACTAAATACGAAATTTTAGTTTCCATTAAGACGACATCAGTATTTGCAGAAAGACCAGATATAAGAAAATATAAAACATTTAAAACGTTTACAAATTACTCTAGTCACCTTGAAACTGGCTAAAGGAGTTCTCACACAGTGACTCTCCCATGGTAAGCTATAAGAGAAGGAGTAATTTCCCACATCAACCTTCTTTCTTTCTCTCCCCTCTCCATGATGGCATGTTGCATGCGACTAGCAATAGCAAGGATACACTACATCCATTCAGATAAAACTCACAGCTCTCTGGAACTGGCAGAATAAATAGTCTGAAGGTAGCAACATTTCATGTGGCAAAGGAGAAATCAAAGTCACTTGTTAACTAAAAGAGCAGCAGCCTGCATGGGTGCACTGGGGCAGGAAAAGTATGCCAGCAAAGTGTTTCACATTCCTTTGGCTACTAACAGTGAGATCTAAGATCTAAATGAGGTTTAAATTTAAACTGTGTGCTTCCACAATGTTTATATGCATGTATCTAAAATGATGTTTAGGTTGCCTTTAAAAAGACAAACTTCTCAAAGCAGGAGTAAAAAATGCACTTAAATATACCTGTCGTTTTAACTCAGATATCTCTTCCTGACAGGAAACAACTTCCTTTTCTGCAAGCATCCGTAAGTCTTCATTTTCATCTAAAACAATACAGTATAGTATTATCTATCACACTTAATACAATACCTAGAACTCTGCAGATAGTGTAACCTCTCTATTGAAGTCTTATTCAAAAAATTTATAGCAGTTCATTTTTTTAGACTGAAACATGTCTATCTGCTCATTTCCTTTTGACCCAGCAAAACAGTGAAAACTATGTGAATTGACTGCCTAAGCCACTAAATTCTGTGTGACTTACTTCCAAGTATATGGGCTTAACATGAGAGTCATAACACACCACATTCTTAGAGTGTTCTTAGTAGCATGTTCTTTAAGCAGTGTTGGGCATTTAAGAACTTACGGAGAGCTCTGCCAGATCAGGTCAGATAGTCTGTTGCCAGAGTGGTCAACTAGATCAACATGGAAGCCCGTAAGTTAGGCATGAGATCATGTTGTTTTTCCATCAACTCTTCAGAAGCATGTTGTTTCTTATCCTTGAGGGTAACATACAACCATTATGACAGTCATCTAAAAGCATATCCTCTGTCTGTCTTTCATTTCAATGATTTTAGACCCTACTTTTCAGCCAAATATTGTCTCCCAGTGTAGTTCACATCAATAAAAAAGAAAATAAAGGCTTGCAAACTAAAAAGAGTAACACAAAACACACATAAGGAAAGAAAGAGGAAGATAGATCAATTTGATGGAGTGAAGGCTTGCAAAAAGGCATTTCTTTGGACAGGTTTAGGTTTATTTTCTATACTGTTTGTATTTCCATAGAAAATAATAAAAACATCAGAACAATTTATAGTACTTGTTTAAAATAGAATTAAATCTCAAATACTGGTTAAATAGAGAGGTCTTGGTCTGCCACTGGAAGGAATAAAGAGTTGGTGACAGATGAACCTCTCTGGAAAGCATATTCCACAGTTGGTGTGCCACCACTGAGAAGGCCCTTCTCACTTCCTTCATGGAGAGCTTTCAGAGGAGGACCTCTGTAGAAGTTCTTGACCAGGCAGGTGTATACTGAAGGATGTGTTCCTTAAGATAACCAGGCCCAAACCATTTAGAGCTTTATATGTCATTGTCAATACCTTAAATTGGACCCAGACTTCAATCCGTAGCAAGTGCAAATAGTACAGAACCAGCATTATATGGTGCCATCCATCTGCCAGTCCCTGTCAGTAGCCTGGCTGCTCTATTCTGTACCAAGTATCCAGATTGTTTTTAAGGGTAGCCCTATTTAAAGCATGTTACAAAAGTCCACATGGGAGGTTACTAGTGTGTGGGTTACTGTTCCCAGAGAATATGCTTTAGATGACTGTCATAATGGTTGCATGTCACCCTCAAGGATAAGAAGCAACATGCTTCTGCACAGTTGATGGAAAAACAACATCTCATGCGTAGCTTGTGGGCTTCCATGTTGATCTGGTTGACCACTCTGGCAACAGAATCCCAGACTATCTGGCAGAGGTCTCCCTAAGTTCTTAAATGCCCTACTCTGCTTAAAGTACATGCTACTAAGAACACTCTAAGAATGTGGTGTTTTATGGCTCTCACGTTAAGCCTGTATACTTGGAAGTAAGTCACACAGAATTTAGTTACTGTTGTGGGTTACTAGCCCTTTCCTCATAGAACAGTTGCTTCACTCCCCCTTCAATAAATAAGGTTGACTTCAAAGCAAATTAATTGGGGGTGAAAGGTCTTTTGTTGCATCTTTCCTAAAGAACCAGTGTTGTGCAGTAGTTAAGAGTGCTGGAACGGAGACCTACGAAATCTGGGTTCTAGTCCCCAGTCCTCCATGTAGCTGACTGGGTGACTTTGGACCAGTAACTCATTTTCAACCAAACAAACCTCACAGGGTAGTTGTCATGAGGATAAAATTGAGCTATGTAAGCCAAAAGAGGAAAAAATGTAAGATACAAATACACTGTAATAGAAATATTTTTTAATGCTGATAACCAAATAGCAAGGTTTTATTTTTAAGGTCAGACCTTTTTTGCCTCCTTAATTCTTCATGAGAATGTAGGATAAACAATCCTTTTTCTCCTAAGACCAACTCTTGATCTGCCGCTAATCTGTCACCGTTTCTTGCAGTGTGTTGTTCCTCTCGCCAAAAACCACCCACCACACCTGCTGGCACATCTTCTCTGCTTGAAATAGCCTCTACTCTCCATTGCATGCATTGGAATCTACTGCAGGAAGAGGAAATTTTGGGGGGAATTTGAAAACTTGTTGTAGGCATCATCCCTTGGGAGACTAAGCATGAGCCAGAAGTGGGGACTGAGCTCCAGCACACTAAACAGTGGGTCCAAACAAGTGTCTGAGAATATAGTTTTTAGCACCAGCAGAGACCTATTTCACAGCAACCCAGCTGCTTGTTGCAAAATGCATTAATCTTAAGAAAAAGTGGGGCGCCAAGAAGTTTGTGAAGCGTGCACGGCTGCTTGGAAGAGCCATGCTGCCTACCCTTATCTAAAGGATGGTGAACGGCAACTTTATTCCCAACAGGGTTCTTTCGCCTTGCCCTTTAGCTTTCCCCAAATGACTGGCGGGTTACTACTCAAATGAGAACGCTGGAAAATGCCTGGCCAATCCATGGCTGCAGTTCTGGGCCGTCTTATCAAGGTGTAAGCCCACTGAGCCGAACACTTCCGAATAAACATCCGCCTGTGCTGCTAAGCAGACCAACTAAGAAGTCTTCAACTACCAATGCCTGCCAGAAACTGAACAGGCAGGGATTCCGGCCGACATGAAGGCACGGGGAACTACGCTTGCCAAGAATGCGACGGAGCTCCATTCAAGCAAGCAGGCCTCCAACTCGCAGCTACCGGAAAAAACCGCGGGAGGTTTGCACTCGCGCTCGGGTCCTGTCGCAGGTCGGCCCGCGACGAGACTAGAGAAGCCTCGGGTCTCACCCAGCAGGGCGCTCCTTGCGTCCTGCTCCTGTGAGCGCAAGGCGGCGACTGCGCCACGGACACCGCCGAGGAGCCTCACCTTCCCGGGCCAAGCGCTCCGTGTCGCGCAGCTCCTGCTCCTTGTCTCGCAGGAGGCGAATCCGCGCGGCCAACTCGGGCCAGGAGCCCCCGCGGAGCCCTTCCCGCTGCCGCTGCTCCAGGAAGCGCTGAAGCGCCGGCATCGAGAACACCTCGTGCAAGCCGGGCTGGCTGCTGAGCGAGCGTCGGGCGGGCGCCTGTTTGCGACATCGCGCGAAGGCGACGGAGAGCGAAGAGAAGGCGACGCCGAGTCCCCGCTGCCTCAGCGGACTCCGCGCCAGGCACCACCACATGCTCGTGCCTGCTCAGAAACACGGCCGCTTCCGGTCACGAGGCCGGACGCTTCCGGAAACAAAGAGGTAGGGACTCAGATCTCAGTGCACATAGAAATAGAAAATGACTAATTATCCTCACTTCGGGCTTCTGAACGGTGGCAATATGCGGGGCAGAACCGCCCAGCAAAATGAGGAACCTGCGTTCGCTTCTACTTCCTATTTGTTTTCTTCGAGGGTTAGCGGATAGGAACCGGAAGTTTCATCGTGGTGTGAGTCTCTTTGGTCTCTCATGGCCCGTTCCCGTTCGCTTTTTCCGCTTTTCCGGAAACCTTCGAAAGGGATCAGGTCGCGAGGGGCTGCGCATGCGGAGTGTGGAAGTGGTTGGCCCCGAGCAAGGGCTGTGCCCTCGCGAAAGTAGCCGAAGTCGATCGCCGCCTATCGACCCCCGCGGTCTGCTCGGGCGGAACGAGGCGGCGCGGCGAGCGCGGGCTGCGGCTCCGGGGCGCTGGGACTGGCGGGGCCCCGGGGTGCGGCGTGCTTCGGGAAGGGGTGCTCTGGCGGGCGGGCAAGGAGCGGCAGACGCGGCGGGTTCAATATGAGGCCTTTCGCCTACATCCACGGCGGAGTTCGGTGTCTTTGCTGCGGTGTCGCCATCCTCGCGGGCCGGCGTGCCTGTCAACCATCGCAGCCCTCGGGGCGGTGTTAGGTGCCGAGAGGTGCCGGGGCTCAGGCCCAAAGGACAAAACCCACAATCGCATGTGCTAATTTAATGCTCTAGATAAATTTAATTTAATGCTCCAGAGCCTCTTTAAAGGACCTGGTTCTTCAGGACAGCTCTGTCTGTGGAAAGGGAGATAACAGGCGTGGGCACGGGAGAGAAGGCACTTGATTTCAGGAAAAAAAGATGGGGAGGGCAGGAGGAGGTGAAGCTCAGGTGGCCAGAAAGCCTGCTAATCCAGCAGGATCGGGTGCAACAGAGATAATCAGGCCCCGTCCCTTTATTTCAACGAGTGTCCGTGGGCAGCAAGATGCTGGGCTGATGGCTTCTCACTGCAAGATTGTGGGCCTCAGCAACTCTAGACCTGCCCCGGGCAGCCCCTCTGCCAGCCTTTCCCACTGGGTGCCCCCACGAAGTGTTGCAGCTCGCAGCATGCCCAGCGGGGGGCCGTAGCCAGGACTTTCAATGAGAAACTTAATAGAAGCAAAATTCAGGGGCAATATTTAAAATGAGACACAAAACAAGTTTCACATAAAACTTGAAGAACAAGTAGATTATAAAAGTTTTTATGCAGAACAGCACAGGGTGGGTTGCCAAACCAAAATGGCTACAAGGCCTCCACCTGCCCATGTTCTAAGCAATTGATTCAAAAGTCACTGGGGTGACCGACAACCTGACTTACTTTTTAATTGAACTAGCTTGATAATCTTACACTGATAGGCTCTGGAAGTCATTAGACACAGTGTTAAGTTGGAGGTCAGAGCCTAAGGAGTGAATCAGACAGTGTCCACAGTTGGTAAGACAGGGTCCAGAAATATGGTTCAGTTAAGAAATGGTCATGATGAACGCATGTATCCATGGTTCTGACTATCTGCTTATCAAGAAGAGAATCATCAGTACATTTTAATATCTTATAATAAAAATGAAAATGGCTGCTTCTTGGGAATAATCACACACCTGTTCCAAGGTGACTTTGCTTGTAAGAAACTAAAATGGGAAGCTTTGTAGTGAAGTGTTAGCGTACTCTGAAAGCATAAACCATTAATCATGTTATCCTGTGCATGTTGACTTGGAAGCAAGTCTCAGTGAATTTAAGAAAGGCAATTATCATGTAAGTATGTTAATTTTTGTTGTTATGTGCCTTTTGTCACAAAGAGGGCAGGTTTGCAGCCTTGAGTATTATAAAATTTATTATGCTCTGAAAGAGGGCACTTAAGATTTGTGTTAGGCAATAAGTATGTATTAGCATTACCGGAAGGAGTTAAGTCTAATCTAGGGTTTACCACTTCCTTCCCTATGAATCAACAACTTAATGTTTTATACACACTTTGCAGATAACTTAAACCAGTGGGATTGCAGTAGCTTTTTAAAAAACGCATTGGAACAGGCTTTCAAGATTTTTTTTTAAAACCCCTTGGAATTCAAAATGCTGTGCTTGGCATTGCCCTTAACAATGCTTATATTTGATGTTAAGCATAAAATAAAGTATTTGTATAATATTCAATATGTTGCTTGTTTCCAGGGTGAATAAAAATCAGTATTTAAAAGAAATTAAACATCCGATTTTTATTTAAATTGGATTTTAAAAAAATGCTTTTTGAGGAATAAGTTATCTAAAGATACTTTTCTATTTATGATACATTATAGTCCAAAGGTTATTCATAATCAAATAAGGATTATTGTTTAATCATAAAACATGAAGCTGTATATTCATGTAGTGTTTAATTTTTTTGGTAAATGACTTCTGTTAATCCATTCACAATGCCATGCCTCTTCTTCACAGCAAAAATGTTATAAAATGAACATAGAGTTGGGAGAGAGACCTTAATCCCATTGTTCCTTTGCAAATCTGTGTACACGGAATCAACCCTAACCCTTACAAGTAGTAAGTTTTAAAAAAATCAATGAATAGGATTGTTGGGAGTAGAACTGATCTGAATAAGAAGCTATGTGTGAGGAGGGAGAGGCAAGCAGTAAAAATGAAAGTAAACCCTTCTGAGTGGAATGTGCCACACATCTTTGAATCTTTTTTTAATTTATCCTATTATTTCTTTCCCTGGAGGAGAAAACCTATAAACCTATAATGGCAGCAGGGCATCAAAGAGGCCCAATATTCTAATGAAGTTCCTCCACCTATGGGTAAGGCAGACATGTGTGCAAATTATGTAGAAAACTGTGATATAAATCTAGTCTTACTGAGCAGTGATCTAAATTGTAATTTAAATCAAATCTATCCTGCTTGTTTCTAAAAGTTGTGTTTTCCAAGCTTTAGGTGCCTAGTTCTATAAATATATCAAAAACCTATTTTTTTCTTCCTTACCATCAACTTTCAATTTATAGAAAGAATATGTTCAATAAATTGTTCTACTGGTCATAAATAATCATTTAATAGTGCTGGCTAAGAAGTACTGTAGTGAGCAAAAACCCTACTGGTTTAGGACCAGAGTTAAGGCTCTCTCGTGTTTTCTTTTCTTTGGAAAGCCAAGAAATTGGAAGCTAAGGCTGATACTCTGACAGATCAGTAATGATGTTGTGCAGTGTCACAGATTGTGCTTGCTTATAACTTGCCTGCCCTGGAAACTGACTTGACCTGGGTCATCGAGACCCAAATCCAGATGGAGAAGTTGGAGTGGCTGAGACCAGCAAAGGTGCTCCACCTTGTCCTGGTTTTGTGTTGCTTCATGAAGCAGTTGACTCTTGCTGTGTGGCTAAAGGAATCCTCCTATGAGTTGATCTATGCTTGCTTCTCACTTAGAAGTGAGCACATTTTGTGGCATTACAGAACATTACTGAGCATGGGGCACATCTCTTCAGGCACTAGCCTTAGTTTCCAGTTTTCCAGCTTTGCGGATTGGAGCCAACACATGACAGCTTTAACTCTGATCCTAAACCAACCAAGTTCAATTCTCTCAACTTCCCTGGTTTGTTAAAAGGAAGCTTATCAGTGTTCTGAACAAAACAGCTAAAAATCAAAACAGAGACAAGTCATTAACCGAACAGATGTGTACAAATGAATAGAAACATCCTTGTCTTTCTGAATAGTTTACTTCTGAGTGAGCTTGCACAGATTCCAGCATAGTTTTTTAATCTTCCTCCCTCTCATCAGCAATGATCCTTTGAGCAGTGAAAGCAATTCCCTCCATATTCACATGTACCTCACTCTTATCTTTGTTGACAGTTTTCTGCCTGCTGGTCCCTACTGTCAGAACAACAGGAATTCTGGGATTTCTCTCAAAGCATGGAGTACCAGCAGCATGCTAATCTTAGAATGAAGCTAGACTTGCCTGAATGTCTCAGCAGCTGCCACCACAAGCTTTCATGGGCCAGAAAAAAGTGTTTAACTTTTGAACCACTGCACAGAATTTCACAAAAGCACCAGTCTGCAATTTTGAATAAAAAGTACAAATGTATAATTTTTAACTTGGAAATTTATCTCCTAATAGGAATTCAGAGTGCTTGAAATTTTGCACAACTGTAGAATCTCAGTTTATGGAGGATATGTTTCTGGTAGTTTGCTCAATGGTATAATCTTTATAAGCAGTGGGATTTTGAGGCTTATAACAGAGGAACCGTGGTGGTGGTGGGTTTTTTTGTTTTGTACTCACCTTCACTAAAGGGGCCTCCTGCGCCCTGTTAATGAATTTGGAATCCTTTTACAAAGCCATAACTTGTCGGGCTGGATCAAGCCAAAGTTGTATCAGATCTGTCATTCACTTTCCCATGGCAGCCATCCAAAACTCACCAAGTAGGGCATCCTATTCTACCTGTCCTCAGGTCTGATACTTTGGAAAATCTGAAGTTGGATGCTGTGTTTACAATGGGATCTTGCACACGTTTACTGTGCACATGTATGAGTTTCATTGGGACATACTCCCATTAAGGGAGTACAGGATTCCAACTCTAGTGATTATATTCAAACTATGATACACCGATTCATCCTCCATTGATTTGTCTAATAATTTCTGATCCATTGATAAGGTACCACAAGCACAGGTTGTCACATTATGAGTAGCTATTTGATACCACAAGTGCCACTGGTGGACGGAAAAAAAGGAAAAGACAAGATCTACAGTGGGTGGGAAGCTTGTGATCTTGATGTTTTGGCCTTCAGCTCCCACAAGCCCTAGCTGGCATAGCCAATGGCAAAAACGGGGGGTTGTAAATCAATCAAAAGTAGACCAGAATGTCTGAAGAGGCACAGCTTGGCCACTCCAGTCTCTGTTTTCTGGCATGTTTCACAGCTATCCTACCTGAGCCAAGTCTTAGAATGGATGATAGCATGTCAGCTCCAGGCAGTATTGGATGACGCTGATTATCCCTTCCAATCTTTTTCCCAAATGTAGCTATGTTAATAGTAAGAAATAATCCCCAGTTCATATTAACACAAAAGGAACATCAGGCTGTACAGCTGCTGCCATGAAGACAGTACCAGTATGTACAAGGATCTCACCTGAAGCAGTATTAATACAGCTTTGTGAATGGTGTAAAGTGTTTATTTTACAAATATTTGCCTAGCTTTTTTCTCCCCTGCCTATCTCCCTACCGTTTTCATTTTTCTCTCGAGTAGAGGAAACTCGCTATCTTAGGATAACAGTTCATGGATACGATGAAATGGACTGCAACCCATGGAGGCTGATGCCATGATAAATCTGTTAACCACAACATTGTTATTTCTTGCAGCAGAGTGTAAGACAGTGATTCTTCTAGAAATTGTTTGCCCAATGCGTTAGGTTTATTTTTGTCTGGCAGTACTGACCTCTGAATTTCTGTGTGACTGAATGATGCAAACACAACCGTGTATTCTAAAAAGAGTATTCTCTGAGTTATCCGCTTGTCCTTTTAAATACCCCTTTTCTGTCTGACGGAGTGGTCAGACACCCTGATTAAGTCAGCGAAGGGAGGAAAAAAAAGATGTATTTGACAATGACTCCTATTTAATGTATAAAATATAAACTTTTATTAAGTTTTGTTTTTTGTTTATAATACAGGGGTACAACTACACAGAGACAGAAGTCTGTATTCACCCCAGTGCCTCATTGGGTGTATCAATTCTGATACGCAATTTAAAAAACTACTGCCACACACATGGAAACAGGGTGGGTGACTGAACACCACACACCAGTCAACTCCTTTATAGTAAGAGAAGAAGGCGCAATCCTAGTTATGTTTAGACCAAACAATTTAAAAAAAAGGGCTACAACTCTCAGCAACTCACAACCAACATGGGCATGACTATGTGATCATTGTAGGACTTCTTTTATATCTAAACATGCACAGAATTGCAGTATGAATGGAGCCTGGAGTGACACAAATGGGGTGGCGTGAGAATCATAGCTTGCATCCCAAGATCCATGGATGCAGAAATGGGCATTGCCTCTTCCCACTGTAGTCCTTTGAGCCCCTTAAAAGCCATCCTGGGGCACGGGAAGGAGAAGTGGGCCCCAGTGGGAAGCCAGAATCAGAAAAAGAATGACGAAACCCTTCTTGAGCGAGCATATGTGCCTTCAACTAACAAAATAGCACCTTTGGATTCAAGCCTGCAATCCCAAATGTGTAAGGGCATTGCTTAAGTTAACGTTATAAACCACAGTGCTTAGAAAATGCAATTATGAACATTCAGTAAAAAGATTAGCAGGACTAGAAAACAGCAAGAGCAGTTTGATGAATGAGAGACATGTCTGGGCATTTGTCTGACCAGATTGTATAGATAATTTAGTCACATTTTTTAATCAAAAGAATTATATTTATTGTGTATATGAGCGGTCTCATGAAAATCCAAAAACGAGAAGTAAATACATTTTAATCTAGTTCTGCCTATATGTTATAACTATAGTTCGGCATTTCTTTGTTATTGTATATCACATGCACAATCATCTTTTCAGAAGTTCAATCACTGGCTGCTCCCAGTTTGCAAATATAGTGAGAGCAATGAGATTATGTTCATTCGTTCATTCTTTCATTCATCATTCATTCATCACATTTCGGTACTGCCCAATAGCCAAAGCTCTCTGGGCAGTTCATGACATTAGAACAAGAATGTTACGATCTAAAACACTTCCAATATAAATTTCAGAAAACAGATTTGTTTGAGGTATGCAAAACTGCCAGGAAACAAATCTGACTGTTCTTGTACTCACAGAATTCTAACATTAACAACTTCCTTAAAAATGGCACAAGACTTAAATTTTATGGACTTAAAATATACATTAATTCCTAGGAAAAACATATCAAACACAGAGTGTCATATGGTCAGTCTACAAATCCCCAAAGAATAAGGATTCAGACTGGAAGGATAACATAGTCTCATTGCAGTAACACACTAAGAAATTTCTGAAATGGTTCAAATGCAGTATCTCCCCACCCCTAATACAGAAAAAAGGATGCTAGAAATTCAGGGTAGCATTTTCAGGACCTTATATTTAGATTTATTAAGTTACCTCAGAAAAGATATTCTGTCCAACTGATAACTCACTGCTACTGTATTAAAAGTATCTTATAAAGATAGCTTCTGGTTAACAGGTCACCATCAAATAGTAACATCAAAAATATGAAGTCTAGATATTGAAAGTTGTACGCATGCGATAATTTTCTAATTACATAGTACCTAGTGGTGTGCACCAGAGATATTTGTGTCTCAAACACTATAACAAACCTGAATTAACACCAGATAAATATATACAGAGTGCTATATATGCAGAGTACCATGGTAAGTGTGATCTACACCGAGGTGCGGTAGAGACATAATTCCACAGTTAATTCAATTCTGTGTAGGATAAAATGAATCAAATGTCATCATGAGAATTTTCACAGTAGGAGGAGGCAATTCTTTGCTGATTTTTCCTCCTACCTCCTCCTTTAGGAAAAAAAATCTGCTTTTGTAAACATCTTTCAACGTATTGTTCTATCAATATATCTTTAAAATTTATTCATAATGGTAAATAACTAACCAACATGAATAAGGTATATCATAACACAGTAACACTTTTCAGACAAAACAGGTATTTATTAAAAGAATGTCCTTTATAAATAATTTGTCTTGCATTTTTAAACTACAGTTTCATAAACAACAATATTTAAAAGTGCTGAGTATGATAGGATAGTCAGCAACGCCAGTGTAAACAGACTTTGTATGTTTCCTGCTTTGCAGAATTCTCTCTCTCTTTCTCTCTCTTTAAACCCCATTTTGTCAAACACTACAACAGTTAAAAGAGTTGCATAGGGAATTAAGAATAGCCCTTTTAAGTTGTATCTCCTGAATTCTGTATAAATTACAAAATCAAATGAGCTTAAGAAACAGTTTGCTAAATTGTCCGCTTCTCCCTCCCTCCCCACCTAAAAGCATACATATTTCAAGTATAAGTAAAATAAGAAGTAAATTTTCCCCAACGTCTGCCCTTTGACACATGTTCAATAAATTAATTATGAAGAGGTAGAGAAAGAAAAAAGCAAGAACAAAAAGAAAGAACCCTTCCCCAAACAAACGAATGGTCTAATCAGTAGAGGATATACAGAGCTCTCTACACCACCACATCAGAGTCACGTGTTTAGGATCTGGGTGAAGCAATTCCATTATAAAAGCGATTCTGTACCAACAAATAGCTACACGGGTACAGAGTCCTTTAGGCCCCTGCAAAAGAGCCTTTGGGGATGCCTACTCAAAACTGCTCCAGCACAAATTCTATTTAAATGTACTGGGCTTTGTACATCAGTCTGATTAGCTGACTGCACTTGTTGGATTGCTCAGGGGTCACCCTTCAGAAGTAATTTGCAGAAAAGGGGTAACAGTTGAGAACTAGATTCTACTCCAGTTACCACAGCCGTATCTGTTTGTTTTTAAATCAGGTCCACTCACATCAACAGGTTGACATAAGAGAGAGGAACTGAGCTTGTATCATCTCTCCTAGGATACGTTCCAGTGCTTTCAGTTGTAAGAAACTCTTCAACATGCACCTGTTCTGTGGCCTAATTTTAGAAGTCCCTCAAAAGAAATGTTGACATTTGGTATTGGTTTGCAAAGGTGTGACGATGGTATGTGTGGTCTTGGTTTTTTAGAAGTTAGTTACTCTTAAGTTCAAAGCACATTTTGAAGTCGGGAAAGTTTTAAAAAAAACCACAAAAATAAGCAGCTACCTTCAGTCCTCAACTAACAGCCAAGGGTGTATTTCTCAAGGAAACACTATTGCACATTTGCAATGAATGGGTGTTCCACAAGAATATAAATGTTCTTGCACAAACCCACATTCATTCCAGGATGGCTTGTGCAAACTACATCCCTAGAGTGCAGAGTGGCTGGAGTACTGTGTTCCCTTCTTCATTCTAGCACTTGGAAAGAAGTCTTCTATTGAAAGCAAGAAAAAAGAAGATCATATACCTATTGACATTATTCATGGGCCAACAGGTTTTGAGCTTAGCATCAACTAAGGGCACAATTCTATGAAGGTCAAGACAGAAAGAGGATTTTTTCTGCCTAAACGTGCATAGGATTGTGCTTCCACTTTCTGAAACATTTTTACAGCCCACAATGAGTCCTTCTAAATTAGGAAGGCCAGAAGATATTTTGTCTTCTTCACCCTTTCCTTGAAAAACCAAAACAAAATTATTTCAATTTCTGAAAAATATACAAACATTCCCTTTCACATGATAGACTGTTTAGCACATGCTAGTCCTCAGCATGGACTGATGCTACATGTATGTGTGTGTGTGTGTGTGTTTTAATTAAACATTTTCATTAAAAATCATCCTTGGTCATGTGTATGTAAGGACTTTTTTTGTTTCTTTTTGTTTCATTTTGATGAATTACATGACATTACACAGCAGTGTTAGATAACTGGGTAGCCAGTCTTTAATAAATCCATTACAATATCTGACATTCGAAATGTACATTATCTGTTCTTAAAACAATTAAAAACAATGTCAGCGCATAGACTGTGCCACCCCACATGGATCCATTCATGTAATTTGTGCTTTGTTGTTGTTTGTTTGTTTTGACATTTCAAATTCTGTCATGAAAATGCCACAGTTTTGGCAGTCAACAAACAGAGGAATCCCCTGCTTTGAATTTTAAATAAATGATAATAAATCACCCATACTCTCATTCTCTTTCTTCTACAGAAAGGTTGTCTGTCTTACACAGCAATGGATTTTTCTCCATAGAATACTTGGACTACTGTCGCTACACTTTAGGATTCATTTCCTCCAGTGTTAGCATTTTTTTTAAAAAAATGCGCATTGCTTTCTGGCTTTCTCCACTATTTCTGTGTGAACTGTAGGACCATATTGCACAAAATGTTCTTAAATATATATATAATTTATGTTGTTGGATTAAATATTGCAACAACTAAGTGGTAAGTGAAGCAGTTTTGCTTTGCACATGCAGTGTGAGGGTACACAAGGAAACTTCATAAAACGACAAGTACGTCATTGCAATCATAACTGTAGTTGTATGAAACAAATGTGATTTGGCAAATCTACTCTTCCCCTTTCCAAACTCAAGCATGAAGGACCTTGGTAAAATGTAGACAAAGACCATTTTGTGTATTTGTTTTCTTCACAGTAGCCTGAGTAGTGCTAAACTGTAGTTCTCCAGGAACTCAGTTCCAGATGTTATTAAACTACTAAGGTGAAGACAGATGTAATATCCAAAGAGAGTTTACAGCACATCCCTCAGATACGGGGTGAGCCCAGCTTCCTCTCAGTTTTTTAGAACGAAATGAGAGCCATGCATGCCAGCAAACTGTGCACCGACTCCTCTGCCAGTCTTGCCTCTTTCCCCTGCTCCATTGCTTCAGGTTGGCTGTCCACCATTAAATAAAAAAAAGCATGTTGCATGAACATTCATGCACTTCTCTGTTCGTTCATCGCCTTACCCATTTGAAAAGGACAACTTCCATAAAGTGCAAAATTGCTGCTCCAGCTATCTTTCTGGGGGAGGTTTTTTGTTGACATCATGGGGGGGGGGCTCAGCAAATCAGCACCGTGTGCAGCCGGCTTCTGCTACAAAGGGGCAGAACCGGTTTTTCCAGAGCTGGACCCTGGAGAGGAAAGGTACATCTTGGACTGAACGCAGTGGGAGTGCTTCCAGAACAGCCCCACTGCTCTAAAAATGTTACGTCTGTCTTCATCCTAATAGTCCTTCCCCCACCCACCCCCAAAAAGCTAAATCAAGACTTCAGCCCCAGAAAGTAGACCTAAGTTTCAGAAGTAGACCCCGTAGTACTTTCAATAAGAGACTTATAAATCTGAGAGTTCAAAAACCTAGGGAAAGAGTCTCTGTGCATTAATGTGTAGATCTGAAGTTGAGCATCTTCGTACATATGAGGATTGGGATCCAATAAATTTCTGTTGATTACTTCTCGTACCCGTGAATCTAAACTAACCTAAAGAAAAGGGGGAAGAGATATTGATTAAGCCATGACCTGAGTATGGTATATGAATCTATTTCTATTACTCAAAGACTGCTTTCTTATGTACACTTACTTGAGAGTAAGTATCACTGCACTCAATGGAACCTTTTCATATGAAGAAGGCTATTCATAAACCTCTTGGCATTTTTATGAGTCGTATCATAGATAGGAAGCATCTGGTGCTTCTTCAAATAATGCAACTAAATTTAAGAATAGAAGTCTATTTTGTATGCCTGAACAACTGGGGTATTCATCTGCTTGGAAGCATAGAAATAGCAATTTCAGGTATTCATTTCTTTGTTACATGCATTGCTTCCCAGCCAACTGGTTCCCCAACCCGCTTACCACTGAACTCTATCATAACATCCAAGCGTATGGGAATTTTTGTTGGGATGTTGAATTTGGACAACATTGAATTTGGAAGATCTTTGTAGCTGACTATTCTAGTTTTGTGTGTTTGTGTTTTCCCCCATTCAGGTGTGCTAAAGTGGGAATTTGTTTGTCCTGGTGCAACTGTACTTCAATCAATCAATTTATGGATAGCACCCAGGTTCTCCAACAATGTCTTACCAAAAATCGTATCATAATACAATGAACTTCAGTAAAGTCTTCTCTAAGCAGCTTAATGAAATATTTGCTGTAGAAAAGCTATGCAGCCCCACATGACTTCTCAACCTGGCTCCTTGTCCAGGAGCAAAGTCCAGACCAGCAACTGGTTTATCAGGAGGGCTGCCTTGACTATGGTGTGGAGACTGGAGGGACAAAGCCCTACACCCTTCTATACTCTCCTGACATCCCATATGCTGCTTCTTAACATCTTATTTATTGTATTTGTGGAGGGACAATAGTAGGCAAGTCATATGGCATCATCCAATAGGTTGGTTGTGACCTAGGGCCAAATTTTATGGCCAGTCACCATGGAGTCAAGGTAAATTTGTCCTTTTAACTCTCCAAACTGATTGTCACTGCAGTTTGGTGTTTGTAAAGCATCAACAAGTATGCGGCTTTTGGGTTACCAACATAACCATAAATATAGCTATATTTATAGCTATGATGCTACAAATGCAAATTTCGGATTCAGAGCATTACCTCTTTTGGGGATAGTATTGAAATGTAGTCTTCGTATATGAGCCTTGCTTTTTCCTCAATAGCTTCCTTATTCTGTTCCTTCTTCAGGTCTTCACATGCTAGCCAGAACAGCAGGTTTTCTTCACTATACTCTGTTCGAAGAAACTCTCTGAAAATATTCCTACCAGCTGGTGTTTTCATCATCTTGTCAAAATTTTGAGCCCAAGACAGAATTTCATCTGCAGTAGGGTTCTGGCTGCAAAATAAACCAACAACAAGAAGAAGAACAACAAAAAATGATGATTTCAGATCAATATTTTTTTGTTGGTTGGTTCCTATATTGGCTCCTCATACACATTAGCTTCATCAAGAGAAAATTAGCTTCACAGTGGGATCCTATGAATTTCTACTCAGAAGAAAGCCTTACTGAGTCCAGTGGGACTCCAAGTATGTATGGGATTGCATTATTTATATATTTATTTATTTATAAATATCCTATGCCGTCCATTACTAAAAATGTCTCTGGATGGCTTACAAGAAACAGGAAACCAAGAACAAAACTATCTGGAGGGCTACCGCAGAGAAGGCTCTCTTCTGTGTTGCCACCAGCTGAGTCTCCCCCAGATGTGGCTTTTACAAAAAGGCTTCAGAGGCTGAGCATAAAGCCTGGCAGACTGACTGGGAGAGGCGTTCCATTACGTTTTTCAGTCACAAGTGGTCCTTATTTGTGGGAATGTGCTATGTCAGCAGTCCAGTATTGGGACAAACATTATAGACAGGTAAATCAAGCCTAGTCAAATGACTGCAACATGAAAGTCAGCTAGAAGCATCTGAGACATGATGTGTCTGAACTTGTTTCTCAATATTACACATGGTGCCTATCTCCTCACTGTTCTAAGGCAATGACAATCTCTGTAGCCTGAGAAAGTTTCACTTAGATTCAAAAGATATGATAATGGCTCTTCCTCTTCTGTGCGACTTACATTTATTAGTCATGAAGCCCAACACAATTTATTTGCACAAAACTGATACAGTACAGAATGTAATCTCCAGTTCTGCATGGAACTGTGGGTTGTGCAAAGATGAGACGTTTCGAGTCTGATGACAGATTCTTGTTCAAGAATGGCACAGATGAAATCTTAATGTGGCTGCTCGCATTTGCTGGCATTTGGCTTCCTACACTGTTTTTTAATTCTTCTCGGCGAAAGCATGTGGTAGAAGGACAAGCCAACCAGCATGCTAATGAGACCCAGAGAAATACTCATTAGAAGATTTTGATGTTCACATGTTTCTATTCTGTATTATCTCCAGAGCTGCCAGGGTTCTCTTTGTTTGGCGCAACTGATCTGAATGATGCTCAATTAGCATGAGATTTCTGGCAGAATCCAAGATAGCAGCAGAAAACTGAAGAGAGGCCAGTGGAGGGCAAAACCAACCATTCCAAGTTTAAGAAGGACATGGCTTCCAATTTGAGCTAGGCCTAAGATATTAGGACTAAAATTGGCACTGTACGACAGGCAAATGAAATATGCAAGCCCTACTCAAATGTTTGTATGGACACATGCGGGGAGGGGCAGTGAGATTGTGCTCTGCATGCATTCCACAGAATGTCTGAAGGGACCTTTGCATGGGCAAGCCGTAAGCAGATATACTTTGTGTGGTGATGGACAGAGCATACATGTACGGTTTGCATATATATAGGTGCCTTCAAACACTTTGCTGCATGTACAGAGGGCAAGGTTTCTACACTGCTCTTCTACATAGTAATATATTGTTATCTCTACAAAGTAAGTAACAATGAGGGCTGCCATCCAATTTTGTGTTTCCTGTGTATTTTCTTTTTCTAAGGGTTGTATCAAGAGGTTATTATGTTGAAAAACACGCACTTCAAAAACAAATTATGATATTATGGAGTTTTGTTTTTATTTCTAATATCCCTATGCCTTTTTTCATGCTAAGGTCTGTGTATATTCAAATTTCACTTGCTTTGACAAAAGTCATGCCATAAATGCTTAAAAAGTAACTATTGGCTATTTGAAGAGTAAAATTTGAAGCATACAAAGAATTCATACCAAACAAATCATAAACATCACAGGAAACATCTCAGTTATTCATCAGCCAGAAATTCACCTTCAGTTTCCCTATCCTGAGGGCCACCAGCTTTGTGTGTGAGTGGGGGGGTTGTTTTTTGCACAGTATATGTTTTAAGGTACTCTCTATGTGAACAACTTTCCACTTCTAAAGGAAAAGAGCCAAACTACGGTGGTGGTGCGGGGGGGGGGGGGGGGAGATACAGGCCAGCAGTAGGGAGCAGCTGTTACTGTCACAAGGGCTGGTGATGGCCATCAACTTGGGTGCCTTTAACATGGGATTGGACAAAGGTATGGAAGAGAGAGCAAGCAATGGCTTTAAGGCATGGTGCCTGTATGCCATATCTATGTTCAAAAGCAAAATTAGCTCTCAGTACCAGTTGTTGGCATACAACAGTGAGAGGCAGGTATTGCCCTCATTTGCTGTTTGTGGCCTTCTCACGAGCAACTAGCTAGTCACTGGAAAACGGGTCAATGGACTAGATAGGTTTTTGGTCTCATCCAAAACAGCTCTTCTTATGTTCTTAGAACGGTGTGTAGTGTACTGGAGGAATATCTTTCTTACATGCGTCCCTTTCTAAGAAAACTTCACTTTATGACCCAAGTTAGCTAGAAATAGACCATGAGGCATGCATGTGAATTAACTCTAAAAAACAGAGTAAGTTATATTTCTGTGAACAAGAAGGGCTGCTAAATAGCTTGTTAAAACATTTTCCCAGTTTATAAATAGCAATTGTGTGGGCCTTTGGCCACAGATAATTGGTAACTGCTCTCAGAAATGAAATGGATGCTTTGAATAGAAAGGTACATGGCTTTGTCCACAAGATGGCACTCTCTTGAAGTGCGAAGCTAAGAAAAGGGTTTTAAAAGCATGAAGGTAAAGTGGCGATTCCTTTATTGATGCAATAAATAAGCACACAGAATAACCCTTCTCAGCATGCACATTTATAGCCTTCAGTAAAGTCAGGTAAGCAATGTTACTAGATGCAACAAAAATACCAGTAAACTAGTATGTGAAAAGTAAATGCAACAAAGGCAAAACTCATCATTCAGTCCAGAGAATCATCTGCCTAAGAGTGAGATAAGAGGTGTTGGAAGTGCCTACAAGAGATGTTCGTTGCTCCACAAGGTTTGTGGTTTCAGTGCGTAATCTGTCTTAGAGCCAGGTGGCAGTTTTCCTCATGTTCTCAGAATCTCAGCTGAGTGCACTCGGTGGGGTAAGCGCTCTGCGAATGGTACATCTGAAAGGCCCAGGCCAGGAATTGTCATCTGGGCCATGGCTTAGATGACTGTGGACAAGCCTCCGTGAGCTTACAGTAACATGCTCACTACGTCACACACTCCCCAGCATTTCTTCACAACCAGATCTTAACAAAGCAGGCTATCAAATCATGGATTGATCCCAGTTTGTTTCGGCTCACTTTAGTTTGACCGGTCTATAATTCGTCAGATCTTACATATCACGGGACTGCAGTCTGATCTAAAGGGAGGCTGATGTCTCACTCTCCTCACCCATGCAAGAAGGAAACGGGAGGGAGGCAGGCATGTGCCCATGGCCTGTGGCATCTTGTTCCCAGTCATTTAAACTGGCCATGCTGTGAGGATGCAGGAAAAGTACAGAATATGCTTGACCTTGCCTTGCTACAGTTCTGGAGATATGTTGGCAAATGTAAGGGCAATTCCTACTGACATCTTATTCAGTGATAGCTGTGTGAGAATTTCCATATTTGGTAGAAAAGCTTCAAGATTCCACATGGGTCTTTGCATTTCCCCATGACCAGCAAAACAAGAATAAATGATATGAAAGACACTTTGCACAATATTTGTTCAATTTGCAGAATTTATACAAGCTAAGCAATTCCGTTTACATGAATTACTGACTGTTAGTGCAGTCCTGCCCACGTCTACTAAAAAGTAAGTTGCAGGGACTTCAGTGGGACTTTTCCCCCAGTAAATGTGTTCAGGATTGCAGCTTGAGCCGTTTGTAATAAGTGGAGGAGATAAATCACAAACTTACCACTCTTCTATGACTTGGATACTCTCCATTTTCGTTGTGTGTGTTGGCCTTCCTGTACTGTCCCCTCTATCTTCATTCCTAACAGTGAGGCTGCAATGTAGTACAACACTTTATTTTGTCTAGAGAAAATTAATTTAAAATAATGAATGTATAATATAAAAAACAACACTGAGATTTAAAGTAAACCTGCACACTTAAGGTGCTATTTGCTTTTCATTAAATGCAGGCCAACACTCAAATACCCCCAAAAACCTTTTCCTTGAGCTTTAAAACTCCACCCACCAAAGTTAAGAAAAGCAAAATACATAATTTAATGTAAACACTGAAATTGTATCTGTTGTCATTTTCTTGTCCTATGGTGATGATATTATCGCTGTGAACTGATTCTGTAATATTTCAATGATCAAATTGAATATCTACAAGTATGCTAAATGAAAAAGTCACAGTCTAAAGCTAAACCACAGATTGAGGTTTCTTTTCTGATCTTATAAATGCTGAACTAGGCATTACTTGCAGGATTGTTTCATGGCTCATGCTTAGTAAAGATACCAACCACTTGATAGTTCACAGTTTTACACACAGGGACATAGACTTGTAAGCCTGGCCTCCTTCCTGCTGGGAAGACGAATCGGCCTTATTGGGGGAACAAGATGCTGGACTTGTGTCCTGTTGTACGGTTCCTTTGGCTTAATCTGCCGCCGTTCCTGCCAGTCAGTGTGAGCAAATATTTGAACCCTCACCCTGCTGGGACGTAGTGTCAGCCTGCTCGGGCACACCGGGGACCAAGAGGCCTAACATTTTAGGGTACAACTCTATGCATACTTAGACTGAAAAATCCTGTGACTCCAAGCAATCCCCAGCCAGCAGCACATTGCATCCCTTTTCCCATTTGACCCGGGACCTGCAAGTACGATCAGCAGCACGAGCTCCAACTGGTCTTGGCCCTTCAGCCATGGACTCTCCTTCTGGAGCTTGTTCCTCCCTTACGCTGCCTGCTGGTCCCTCCTGGCCATGCGCAGGACTTAGAGGCAGGGGCCAGACAACTCTGGTCCCTTCAGTTGTTGAGCAAATGTGTTGCATTCAGTGGCACCCTTGTCTTGCAAACAACAAGTCTCTTGTTGTTGGGAGAGTGCTCTTTCTCCTCCTCATGCTGTCTCAGGGTCATTACTTTGTTGTTGAAATGTAGGCTATTGTGTAGTCCAAACCCAGCAGTGCTAACCTCCCATGATTTGTTATCCACAAATAACCCTTGAAAAGAACCCAGGCTTGTTGCCGGGAATGGAGGCTGCGAGACTGAAGGACGGCACATCAGCTCACAGCCCAACCTTGCACAAGGTAACACACTGTACACACACTGACCTGGTTCAGCCCCCTGAAGGTTAACTCTTGGGCTGCTGGGGCAGGCGCTGTCCACCACTATGAATCTGCAAGAGCCTGCAGTAACTTGGTCATCCAAACTCAGGGTGTGGGGTTTTTTGGAGGATTAAACAAACATTGCATAAGCTACACTCCGGCATACGGAAGCTCCCTGCAGGTAAATTAACCCACAGGGGGCTATGCTGTCCTGTGAAGTGGGCCTTTCTATTGTAAGTGCATGCTAATTTACTTGCAAAGAGAAGATCCCACGGAGTAATGCCTTGCCTCACTTCTGTCCTCTTTTGCCACCCACTTGTAAGCTTCCTGACCTAGAGTAGGACCAAGTTCCAGTGCTTTTTTTGTAAAAAAAAGAAAAAAAAAAAGAAAAAGATGCCGGAACTCATGTCCCCACCGGCAGTAGCACACACACCAATCCCAAGCCGAGCAGCGGAGCAGCGTCCCAAGCAGCTATATAGCAGACACAATAGCAGCCTGCAGGCACTATGTTAATGATGTTTGCTGCTGATCTACTACATCATTAACATAGTGCCTATGTCAAAATCACTTCGTAAAATCCATTGAAAAAAAGGTGCCAGAACGCCGTTCCGGTGCATTCTATGACAAAAAAAAGCCCTGCCAAGTTCAGACAAAATGCTACTCTGGGATGGAGTATAGGTTGAGTATGGATAGTTGTTGAACTGTGAGTTGTTGAAATGTGGTTTATCATATTGTCTGAACCCAGCTTAGATGAAAAAACCATGATGAACAACCCATCGTTCACAACCCAGCAACAAGTTTCAGGGGGCTGAACTAGGTCAGTGTGTGTACAGTGTGTTACCTTGCGCAAGGTTGGGCTGTGAGCTGACGTGCCGTCCTTCCTTCGGTCTCGCAGCCTCCATTCCCGGCAACAAGCCTACATTTCAACAACAGCCCCCAGCCAACCTGTACGCAATGCCTGAGTGTGGTTTATTGTATTGTCTGGACTCAGTTCCAAAGTATCTTTCTTGAGCTGAGTCCAAGATCAGAGACAATGTACCTATGTGTACCAGTTGCTGGGGAACTTGGGTAGGAGGATGCCACTGTGCTCCTATTCTGCTTGTGAGATCCTGTGGACAGCTAGTTGGCAACACAAGAACAGAGTGCTGGACCAGTCCGATTCGTCATGTCTCGTCTTATGTTCCCAAGTCGTCTGATAGACTCATTTCGCATTTGATAGCCAGGATGGTGTGGTGGTTAAGAGAGTGAGACTGGGACTCAGGCGATCCGGGTTCTAGTCCCCGCCCAGCCATGGAGCCAACTGGGTGACTTTAGGCCAGGTGTAGACTCAGCCTCAACCCACTTCACGTTGGTGTTATTGTGTGGATAAGAGTGGATAACAGCAGGGGAATGATGTCAGTCATTTAAAGTTTGTTGTAAGAAACATGTGGAATATAAATCTAATAATAATAATAATAATAATAATAATAATAATAATAATAAATCTACATTGTGCTTTGGTTCCCATATGAGCAGTCATCAAAGAAGGTGAAAGCCCTAAACAGAGAGGTCTTTCTGCAGGAAGCAGAAACAGTACAACTAATTAATAGAGATGATAGGACATTTGTGAGATACCAGAACGATATGGCTGGGTCAAGATAGTGATATTGAGTCTAAGGTACGCCATCTCTGGACTAAACCGTATCAGGTTTTAGGGGACAATCCAACATATTCTGTTGGGCAATCTTAGTTTATTTCAGTTGGAGTCATTAATGTTCAGCATGGATCTTTAACAGTCAGATTATTATTGGCAAAATAGGAAGGACAGAGAAAATGAACGATAAAATGCCCTTCCCATTCTCTGAGCTTGTCATGCAGTGACTGATGATACTGTCCTGAGAGTTAATCCAAGCTATGTATCATCTTAAATGAATAAAATATTTGTATCTAGCCTGCAGGGATCCTTTTTTCTTTAATATTAAGGTGTGAGGATTTCTTGACTGTGTGTTCAATATTAACACTATGATAAATGGACACATTGGCACGCAATCTCTTCACATCAATAAAAATAAGTTTGCTTTCTAGCAAAAAAAAAGAAAGGAGGAGAGAAGGAGGAAAAGGAAGAAGAGAAATCTCCTTCCAATTAACAGTTGCTGAAAGCACTATGAAATTCTTTGCCCAAAGGTCCATTTCTATAATCTATAAAGTTAAATGCAGAGCAATAGGTTTTTTCCTTCCTGCCAAGAAACCAACCCCAGCTCCCCAACAGAAATAATCCCTTTGCTTTATAATAACAATTGCTTACTGAATCCTTATGTTTCAGCAACACTAGCAAAAATTTTCATGTGATTTTTCATTTCGGCACCAGGCTAAAACCTTTTTATTTTCCCAGCATTTTAAAAATTAGTATTGTTTTTAATGTTGATTTTATATATTCTTGCAATTCTGCATCTTATTAATTAATCATGTTACTGCTGCCATGAGACACTGTAAAGGGTGAGATACAAAAATGTTAAATAAATAAATAAATATAACGAATACCAATATGAATGCAAGATAACCATCTTTCCTGGTAGAGCACATGCGCCTGATTCTCGGGGAAACAGGCCTACTGCTCAGCATCTGACTTCATTCATTGTGAACAAACTTGTTCAGGGCTTCATGAACAGGCCACTTGTGAGAGTATTAAGTAGATTAGTAGCATGGTGCACCCATTCCACCGTCACAGCATCCTCTCACCAAGATGCCACATAATTTACAAGGCCATCAGATGAACTTGGGTTCGTCCAGGCACCTAAGCTGTGAGCAGGTAAGCTAGGAATACTAATCCACGCCCATACGTTGCATTGGAACGAATATGAGGACTTGCTTAACGTGTGGACATTTTTAACAGTTAAGCAGTGGTCATCCTTGGCATGATGTGCCCAATATCTGGCAGAAACATGGCTCCTACCCATGGACCACGATGCTGCTGCCCCACAAGGTGGTCCTCATCCTCCCAGTGCGCAGTGACAGTGCCTTTGGCAGCAGGGGTTCAGCTGGAATCCCAGAAGAGGCAGCAGCAGCACTAACCTTGTTTTCTACACAGAAGCTTTTACAATGCATGGGAAGTAGTTGTGTCCTAGGACAGAGTTGTATGTTTTGATTGATTTTCCCTGAGAGACTCCATCCCTCTGGGTTATTTTAAAAAAATAAAGACTGAACTTTAATATAGCATGGGTAGGTTTCTGTAAATATAAATTACAGGCAGTTTCTCTGGAAATGTTATTTTAAATAGGAAATGCATATGATTTATATTTCTATAAACCTTCTCTATATTATGCATGTGAGACAAATGTGTGTGTGAGAGAGATCTGTGTGTGTGTTTGCAGTGCTATGTATAATATCTAATAAATGAGCTGATTGCCTGTTTGAGAAGAAGCAGACAGTGGTGCTAATGTGCGAGGCACTGCTCTTGCTTTCTTATCCCACAGCCGGGTCTAAATAGGCAAGCCCTGCACCAAATGTTGGGAATCCAGGCCAGCCCTGAGCAGCTGTCACCTTGGCTCTGCAGGTGTGCTAGAGGCGTGTACCCTGGGCCAAATATTAGGGTTGCAGTGCCACTGGGTGACTCTCTCCATTTTTAATCCAACCTGTGGTTACTATTCTAGGAACTCTTGATGCAGCATCATTACATTAATGAAACTATTGCACCTAAAACATGGCCAGCTCAAGAAATTGCACCATCCGAGTCAGTGGCAGTCTGTCCTTCCACACTC